TCATGATTCGATTAATGATAAATTTTTGAATATAAAATGACACTAGATTATTCTGTTAAAAAACAATTAAAACTTGAAAACAGTCACGAAGCTCCAGTATAGATTTGATTATTGGATCAGGTAGATTTTAATTGCGAGATTTGTACCCTTTTTAAAATAAAAGTTAATAAAACGTTAATAAATTAAATACACGAATCAATAAAAAAAATAATAGCATTTAGTACCGTTTAGTAGATACCGCACAATTTTTTACAAAAGTACTTCGATTCGACGTAATTAAGCTGTTAAGCAGTACTACACAAAAAATAACGGATTTTTCTGAAAAACTCCTGATTCAATGCTCGGATCTTCTCGTTCTAGGACTCAATCTTAATGGCTGGAGGAAGTGATCTCAAATATACTAATTAATAAGTAATAAAACTTTGCACACAATTATAAAATTCGTTTATAGCTCCGTGACAAATAAAACTCTCAGCAAATATTGTTATTTTTAATTATTTTATTTAATAATGGTCGAAAATATTTCGAATTTTAAGGTATGCAATTTTTTGCATCATTTTAAAGAATACAATCTTACATGGCAAAATACAAAATTTGAGAAAAATCAGTTGAATAGTTGAGAAATGGAATTTCAAAGAAGTCATATATTTAAAAATCAATTTCTCAGGAACTATTCAACTAATTTTGCTCAAATTTTGTATTTTGACATGCAAAATTACATACTTAAACATGATGTAAAAAATTGCATACCTCACAGTTCAAAATTTTTCCATCTATTATTTACTAAAATATTAAAAAAATAATAAATGTTTACTAAAATTTATTTTTCACATGGAATTTTATAACTATGCTCAAAAATGTTTCAACTCGCTTAAAAAGTTCTCGCGATATGGTGAAATACACAAAAAACAAAATCAATATTAAGGGGTCCAAACTTCAAATCGTTTTCCTAAATATTATAAATGTAAGTGCTTATGGTAATCGTATTAAAATATAACTTGCATAGGCATTAAATTTTTTATTTCGTCACCAAAAACGTTCTTCGAAAAAAAACGCTTCAATTATGTTTATTCATTTAATAAAAAATTAAATTACTCTATTGAGTTAACCAAATGCATTTAAAATGAAACAAGCCTCTTCGAAGAGTATCTGAAAAATTTTTTATAACGATAAAACAAATACTGGCGCTTTGAAGTTGAGTGCACTGAAAAATTCCATTAAGAAAATTTGTCAACGAGAACGACGCATTCATGTATGGGCGTTTACAAATTCATAAGCAGTATAGAAAACTCTGATTTAAACACGGTTTGTTACATACATTACTTAAGTACACAATGCCTTTATATTATTCAAAATTACGTAATGACTTATATATATATGGTGGAAATGTTTTTGATGCTAATTTTAATAAAAATTAATCCATTTTTATTATTTTTAAATGTATGCACAAAAATAAATTCAAGATATCATTGTGCAGTTTCAATCAAATTTTTAATTATAAAAATTTTTTTGGCATATTATAAAGCAAAAATTTTAAATATGTGATTTATTTCAGCATCGGGTTGACCTATAATCGATCGTCTATATTTTTTAGTACACTCATTACAATGCATAATGAAACGTATAAAATATAATTCTTCAATTTGATTTCGAAATAAGTTAACAGTAGGATTTGCAATTTTGACTATATCTCCATGAATGACTATATCTTTTGACTATATCTCTATCCCTATGAAACAAAAGAGAAAACACATAAATCAATTTAAAAACATATTTAAATATTTTACTAAACTAGTTAAAAGTTAGTAAAATAATACTAAATCAGTAATCATTTATTTATTCATTGATTTATTTATTTTTGAAAAAAATCGTGTTTTATTTAATTATTGAATATATCAGTGTTTTAGACAAAAGTAAGGGAAAACGCAGGGGCAAAAAAGTTTGAAAATAATACAAAGATCCTCGCGCCGTTTCAAACAAAAGTCTTTAAGAGTGTATTAGGATATTCTCTGAGCTGGATTCTCGTTCTAAGAACGGGTGTTCGAATCCAGCTAGCCAGCAGACTGTAGTAAATGACTAGTGCGCGTTAAATCTGTCAGGCCAGAAATTCCTCGACGTTCCTATAATGAATAATACCTCTAGAGCAGTGTTTCCCAACGTGGGGCCCACGCCCCATTGGGGGCAATTTGATTGCAAAGGGGGGCAATTCGAAAATAGAATCGACAAGAGTTTAACCCTTTTGCTCCGGGCCATTTAAATGCAATGCTAAATTTCGACGCCAAAATTGAAAGAAAAAAGCAAATTCTTAAATAATTGCTGCCAATAAATGTTATAAATTCGTTTGACGAGACCAAATTATCAACTGGGTATTTGACGTCGTCTAGTTAACCTCCCTGCGGCAAACGCCAGGCTCCGCGTGAACCCCCAGACTCTTTAAAATCTCGCTAAACAATGCAGTTTTTCGCATCTGAAGAATAAACGGAATTAGAGAGGAATTGAAAAACAACTTGTTGAAAAGCTGAAAACAAGAAAATTCTCAGTGCAAATAGATGAATCAACTTTGATAGACAGTGTGGCTGTATTGATAACTTAAGTAAGATATATTGATAAAGGGCATTTTGCTGAAGAAAAGTTGTTCTGTAAAAGATAAGAAAGCAGCAATACCTCCAAAGATATATATAATAAGCTAAAAAACTACTTAGATGTCAATATTATACCAATGAAAAATATAACATATTATGCAGCAGACGGTGCTCCTAATATGATGGGCAAGAAAAATGGTTGCTTAAAATTGATGAAAGATGATAATCCAAAAATGATTCTTGTGCATTGTGTTATTCATAGGGAAAACTTGGTAGCTAAAAACATCTCCCCTGTTCTGAATAAAGTACTACATTCAGTAATAAAGTGTATCAATGCTATTAAAGCTAATGCCAAATGTGAGCGTCTCTTTAAGCTATTTTGTGAAGAACAAAATGCAGATCATGTGAGATTTTTACTTCACATCGAAGTAAGATGGCTCTCAAAAGGGAACTGCTTGAAAAGATTTATGGAACTGTTTGATACTCTTAGTGTTTTTTAAGCGACAAGCCTGAAATGAAGTAGTCGATGGTAAAGCATTTGTGAGTTATTTTGCCGATATCTTTGAAAAACTAAATATATTAAATAGGTAACTTCAAGGAACAAATAAAACTCTTGTTTATGCAAACGCGAAGATATTTGGTTTCATTACCCTTATTGAGTTATGTCAGAAATATATTAACAACAAAAACTTTGAGCAGTTTCATTGGCTGCAAAAATGTGAAGTAAATGATACCGCTTTACTTGTTACTGTCGATCAACTGAAAATTCTATCGACTGATTTAAAAGAAAGATTTTCTGATTTAAAATAAATTGATTTTTAACATGGAAGATGCAGCCAATGTTAGTGGATTTGTCTGATATATCAAATATGCAGTATCAAAAAGAACTCGCAGAAATGCAAAATGAGTCAGTTAAAACTTTATTTAATATAAAAGGAGTGATGGCATGGCTTTGCGAGGAAACAGAAATCAAATAGCCAAATTCAACCAAATGTGCAAGAAAATTATTGATACCGCTACCATCTTCATATTTAGCTGAATGTGGATTAAATGCTGTAAATTGTAAATGATTAACTGGTAAAAAAAGAAATCGTCTGGATATAACACAACGGGGAGACTTGAGACTGAAGCTAACCAATTGGAACCTAAAGTAAAATCTCTGTGTATCAAGCGCAAGGATTTCACTAAATTAAAATATTAAATTATTATAGAAAAATTTTATTAAAATTATTTCGCATTTGAATTTTAGCTTTTTATTATATGTTTTTAAAATTTACTTACTGTGTTTCGTTAACAATTTCCAAGTGATTTCTTCCTAAAACCTATCATTTAAGTTTCTTAAGTGAACAATTCATTTTTAATATTAAAAATTATGTATATGTTACATGGGGGGGGGCATAAGAATTTTAGAAAGGCTTAGGTGGGGCATAGCACAAAAAAGGTTGGGAAACACTGCTCTAGAGGTATTGAATTGGAGATTGATCGTTCTCTGGTAAAGGTCAAAATTGCGATCTGCTGATGGGATGTATGAATGGGTCTGTTCTATAAACAGGTGTGACGTATGGGTGTAGCAGAAGTCAAATTCTTGGCCATAGATGGCGCCACTGGCAAACAAGAACAATCGCATCCCTTGCCTTAATGGCCTACGACGACAACAAAAACGGTATTTTCTTTTGTCTGAGATTGTTGGTAAAAATTGAAAACCATTTTAATAATATAACTTCAATGACAAATATGAGATGCTAATTTAGAAATGTAAATACTTCTTCAATACCAAATATATATACAGTTTTGGTAAGAATCTTTTCCTTTATTTTTCTTTCCGTTTATTGCTTCTTTCCTTTAAGACTGTAGCGCAACTAGAAATTTTTTGCTGGTTGGGGGGGGGGGATAGTTGTCATTAAATTAAGAAAAGTATATAATTAAATTAAATAAAGTAAGTAAGTATTAATTAAATTTTATGTAAACTCAATAATTTGACTTCCAACCCCCCCCCCTCTTCTGGTTGCATGCCTGCCTTAAGGAAACGTTTATTACGAGCACTCGGATTTAACGAGTATCATGTTACGGTCCTTTTGTGCTCGTTATAAACGAGTTCGACTGTATATATATGAATATTAATGCATACTCAATGCTAATTTCATCTATTTTAACAACCCTCTAGAATTACCTAATCCAAAATTTTGCTAGCGCCTCTCTGAAAGTCTTAACCACTCCCTGGGAAATGAAATAATAATTTTAAGAAGTTCAATTATATAATAACATAATTTTACAATGCTTGATTCTAAAATAGCATTTTTTTATCAGCAAAGATGTACATTTTATATTGTTGTTCTTCCTTATAGAACAAAAATTATCTCCTTTCTCTAAAACTGGTGGATATTTTTAATTTTACTAAAGATAATATTCTTATTTCAGATGGTTAAAGATATCTTGACTACACTCGTGCTTGTCAACAGTTATTAAATGTCACCTTCAGTGCCACGCTCTTTACTATGGAGACACGGAAGTAAGAATATTTATCTGTTTTACTTAGATCATTGTCACTTTATTTTATTATCAGTATTGAAAAGTCGATCCGATCGCTTTTTGCTGCAACCAATATTTCAATATTTAATTCCTTAGTCACCAGGGAGTCTACCAGGTTCCAAGAAAAAAGATTCATGACTTCAAAACAAGTTTTCATAATTTTTTTATAGAAATTATTGAATTTATGAAAATGTTATTGAATGCATTTTACATCCATGTGATTAGTAAAATATAAAATACAGAAGAAATTTTTTGATGGAAAATTAACCCGTTATACTGCTGTTTTATCGTGTGAAATGTTGGTGACTTGCTTTTCTGAAGCATCATACAATATTCAAATAGATATATGCAGGGATACCACAGGCGACTATTTACGTAAAAAGTGCAGGGCTGCCATTGGATAAAAACAAAAAAAATAGTTGCTTTAGTTGCATTATATATGAAAAATAGTCTCCTAAATAGTCTGCAAGATATATATAATAGTCGCCAAAATTGTATCATCCTCTAACATAATTTTACTTATTTGTGCTGTAATAGTATAAAATCCAGATAATATGCAGTTAAATTTTCACATTTTATAAAAAATGTACATTTACTTGTGGATATAAACAGAGCACTGCTGAAGAAACTGCTATAAAAACTTCGAAACGTTTTAAAAATATTTATTTTGAATTTTATTCTTTATTAGGCATAAAGCTTCAGATATCATCTAAGAAACAATAGTTGTAATTAAAAAAAACTAGGGACTAAAAATTTTAGGCATTATAAAAAAAATGATACTTTTATGCATTAATTAGCCTTACTATAAGATAAAAAATTAGCATATAACATACAAAATTTGCATTCTTAAATAGTTTTAAATAATAATATGAGAGGAAAATTATAATATGAATGCAAATAATAAAACGAAGCATTTTATGAATGAAAATGAAGTGGGAAAAAACACACAAGGTAGTATTAAATGTAAAAATTATTATTTTTTAAACATTTTCTTGGGGCTTTTAGTATAGAAATCAATTAAATTTGTTTTCCTTTTGTGAACAAGTTTATTAATTTTAACCGATTCAGTTTCATGTTCTCTCTCAGTTACTCGTAATTTTTCAGCAGCTTCCAATAATCCTTGAGCAATCCTTATTTGAACACTATCATTTTTTTTAACGGCTTCTTTTAAACGCTCATTTCCTTCTTTTAGTAAAGAGTCTGCTGACGATTGTATCTCTTGATGTTTCACCATTAAAACTTGAGCCTTTTTTTCAAGACTGTTAATCCCTTCTTTCTTTCTCTCAACTTCTTCTTTCAATGTTTCAGATTTTTTCTTTTCTTCTTCTTTTTCTGCAGCTTCCTTCAGCTCTCTTTCTTTAGCCTTTTTCTGTTCTTCTAAATATGCAAAATATGAATTACCAGCACTATAGGTTAAGCTTAAAAGTTTTTTTGTGATTGGTACTTCTGAAACATTTTTAAATTTTTGTATACCATCTTTTATATTAAGCCTAGCATTTAACATTTTCTCAGACATTGATGCTTTCTCTTGAGTAAGTACCCTGGAAGATATAGAAAAACATCTCTCTACATCGCTATTGCCGTGAGACAAAGACAGACAAGCTTTAACAAAAAGTCTTAAAGTAGGGTATTTAACTTTTCCTGTTGAATCTTTTGCATAGATAATATCTCTCCAAAAATGATCTATTCGTAGTTTATTTGTCCCAAGATTGGCAGATAACAGTTGAGACTGCAAAATTAGCCATTCATCTCTGATTTGTAGATCGTCAATACCAAGAAAGGTAAGAGACTTTGCGATTTGACAAGCGTAATTAAGGCTTTTTGGTTGGGCAATTTCTTCTGGTTGAACACATTTAAAATAAAATAAAAATTTTCCAGAATCCATACAAGTTTTCTTGATTAAATAATTGAAAGCAGCACGATAGTGTTTCTGCATATTATGTCTGAAATTCATTTTTTCATTATCTTTAAAACGCATGCTAAGATCTTTAATTTGTTTGCTACAGTATATATCTTTGATGGGTAATAGCTGGTTATCTGAAATAACTTTATGAATATCAATTTCATTTGTTTTACAAATGCGACCAGCAATTTTTTTTAATAGTTCACTAATTTCACTATATAAAATGTGAATTAATGGTTCTGATTTCTGAAAAGTCTTCAAAAACGGTTCAAATAAGACAGCACTTTCAGTTAAAAACACAAGTTCAACCTTAATGTCAACATATTTTAGAGATTCAGATATGTGCTTATATTTTGGACACTTCATTAGTGACTGGTTCTTTAAAGGAATAAATTTGAAGAAGTATTCTTCAACGGCTAGCCATTGAGAAAGTAGCCTTTCTGCTGCAGGTCCAAGGGTAAGCCACCTTGTTGAAGAGTGTTTAATAAAGCGATTCTTTTCTAAGCACAATTTTTGTTGGATTGAAGAAAAATCCTCCCATCGTGCTGGATACTTTTTAAAAAAACTATAAATATCAACAATTAATTCTTTACCAACTTCCCCAAATTCCTCAATACCTTTCAAAAACGCATTATGTATTACGTGCAAATTGCACGTACCAATATCGATAAGTCCTTTATTTCTTTCTTCGATTAAATTTTGGTTCATCATTTTCCAAACTTTTGCATTTACATTTGGACCGTCAGATCCCAACATCAGTAACTTATTCAGTGAAAGTCCAGATTCACGTAAAGCATTCTCTATTTGTTTTTTAATATCATTGGCTGTGGCATGTCCAATAAAAACAGTTTTTAGATGACGACATACAATTTCTTGATAGTCTTCCGACCAAAACCTCAACGCAAACTGTAACTCTTTGTGATTTGAATTATTGGTAGTTTCATCATACAGTAACGAATATGGTGATGTCTTCACATCAGCAATTAAATTTTCATGGAAGTAAGGGCCGAGAGCTTCTGTTATTAGGTAACTTAGTTTAGTTTTACCTAAACAAAATTGTTCAGGCACAGCATCCGGAAACATGGCAGAAAAAATTTCTTTCAAATCATCACAAGCATATGGAGAAAAATTACTTTGCACTGACTTCAGCGCCCATATGATTTCTGCTCTCGCAGAGGACTCTCGTCTGCTGAATAAACTTAATAGTTTCAAGCTATTTGGTGGAGTGCTAGGTGTTGATAACGATGGGGTGCCAGCTGATAAAGTAGTGATATGCGTTGATAAAGATGTTGTGCTTAATCCTGAAGATGACAAGCCAGATCCTGTTGTAGATGGTACTGATTTATGAGGTACTACTGAGGTGCAAATGGAATTTCCAGATTCTTTGGGCTGTAATACCAATTGTTGTACACAAAGCTTTACTGAAGCATTTTTAATGTGCATTTCAGTATTTGTATGCTGAGTCAGTGCAGAAAAACCTTGTTTTCCACACAAGATGTTTTTGCTACAAATGAAGCAGAACACTTCTGTTTCAGTCTTTTTTCTGCACCAAGAGGATATTATGTGTTTCAAATTATCTCTTTTCTTGAACCACTCAGATTTAACAGAGTATTGTTTAGCCATGATGACAGCTACCTGTAAAGAATGGAATATATAAGTAAACTTTGGTTTCAAATAGCTTTACAATTTGAAAACTATGCCAGTTTAAGTAAATTAACCCCAACAGTCAGTCTGTTAAAAGTTTAAACCAGTAAAAAAAATTTTTTTGATGAACTAAAATATTTACACAGGACCGTTTTTATGTTTACGCGGGCACCAGTCGTTTTATTATTCTGGGGCATTTTATAAGTAAAACTAAAGAAAAAAAATTAATTTTGAATAATTTATGAAAATTATTTCATTATAAGAATAAAAAACACATAAATTAATTATAAAATAGGAAGTCTTTAAAAAAAATAGGAGCATTGAAAAATAAATAAAAAACCTACTTTAAAGTAACTTAATAAATTTTCAAGGTGAATATTTAAATCCATAACAAATATAAATTTAAACAGCAATTAAAAATAAAATTGTTCATAAGATCAAAATTTCTCTAAGTAAGACAGATACTTTACTTTCTACTCTTTTCATCAAGGCTTTAACAATATAATTATAAAAAATTGAGTAGAAAAATTTACCAAAAAGTTTGTCCGAATTTCGCATTTTATAAATAAAATATTCCGATATTAAAAACAATTATTTTATAAAATTTAAAAATACATCAATTTTATTTAATGTTCAGTCACTTATCCAATTTTGAAATTAATATTAATTAACGATACAATTATTATTAATCCTGAGGCAGGATTTCTTCTGACTTTCTGCAAGGTACTTCTAATAACAGATGTACAAGTTACTAATTTAAAGTACCGTAATTTCACGGAGATATGCCGCGGCTTTATTGATTTAAAGCTTGAAATCTTAGTAGGAATGCGTATCGAATGGGGCAGACAATATAGTATTACTTTTTTCCCTTAAAAAATTTTGCTCCACAGAAGCCCCTAATATCTCACAATGAAATTTCATCATCATTTTTTACCACCTGTTATTTTTTCATGCTTAATGATACTCCAAACAAAAGTCAACGCACCTAGAATTTTCCCACCCCCATCCTTTCTTAGAATAAATAAATCACTATTCATAAGAGAGGGAGCTTTCGTTTTTGCCTAGGAATAGCTGTAAAGTGAAGGGGTGAGAGTGGAGTGGAGAAACATAAATCAGGGTGGGGCCAGTGTTGACGTCAGCTGTAAAATAGACACTTCCCCCTCCCCTCATTTTCCCCAGGAAATATGTCTCTTCACTCCTCTTTTTTTTAAATGAATTCTTGCTGATAAGTTTCGGATGACCTTGAATCTTATTGAAATAACGATGTTCAAGAAGAATTTCTAACTTAAAACTGATGGTCAGTGAAGTGAGAAAAAAAAATGAGTGAGAATTTTACATGTGGATAAAAGAAAGACGATCCTAGTTAAGGAGTCAGCAGTCAAAGAAAAAAAAAGAGTTGTGAATTTGATTATCTTCTTCAGCTTATTTTTTTTAATCTTGAATCTTTTAACTCTGATCTTCTGTTGTGCTTTTTTTGTTTTAATAATATTTTTCTTTCATAAATATTTATGTTCAGTTCATGCTATTTTCGTTTCTTCTTCTTTTTTTTTTTTTTTTTTTTTTTTTTTTTTTTTTTTTTTGTTCTGAAGAATAAAAAATGTATCAAACATTTTTGCAAAATTTTGCAGAAAACCAATTTTTTTTCTCCTTAATTCTTTATTTTTCATTACTAAGAAATGAAAATACAAAAATCGCGAGCATTTATTTCCCCTCTTAAGCGCGAGAAAGACATCCTTTGCAAATAATTCTGGATGACTAGAAAATAAATCTTTCAAAATTTTTTCTGGAAAAAAGAAAACAAATAACTAAAATATTTTACTCCATTATTCTTAATTCTCAAATGAGAAGACAAAAATCACGGGCATTTCTTTCTGATCGCGAATAAGGCTTCTTTGGAATATAATTCTAATGAGAAAAGGGGAAAAATTTTTCAGTTAAGAACAGTTCTGCAAAAAAAAAAAAAAAAAAAAAAAATTCCTACTTCATAAAGAAAAAATCTTTCTGCAAAAACTCTAACGTTTTGTGACCATATTGCAGTGATTCTGGCTCAAGATTATTAATATTAATCTAGAGTTTAACTAGGATTTCAACATTTTGCTGAAACAATCGGAATCAGAAGGAAAAAAGCGCGAATCAGGTTGTGCTATTTTTCTTCTCCACTCCAGTTTAAACATGAATTTGTAAAGCAAACACATAAGATAAATTCGACAAAACGAATATAACCACGCATCCTTTTTCCATTACAAATAGCTCTAACTATTAACTACACATCTTGTGTAACTAAAGACAATTTTTTTTTTAATTTTGCTACTTTGTTTGAATTAAAAAAAGAAAAAAACGCGTAAATAAAAATCATACTTAGAAAAATATACTTAATTCTAAACTATACCGTTTTAATTATATATCAAATTAAAAAAAGTAAACATTAAATATAAAATGAATAAAATAGAGTTTATACTTACAAACTTTAAAAATGCTGAAGTATACGATGAGAACTCTGGTTGAGGTTGATGAGATCCTATGAGATATTACATTTTCTTTCTGTAGTAGGAGGAGCATTCACGTAGACCGAATTTCGATTCCATTTGTCTGATTGGTTAAACATTTCTGTTTTGCTTATGACATCAAACAGTGAGGAAGAATGAAGTATGGGTAAAACGAAAGCGCGCAAAAAAAGTGGGGGGATGGGGGGACTCATGAAGCTATTTTTCGTTTTAGTCGCCAATTGGCTTAAAAAAGTCGCCGATTTTACGCAACTGATTTAAAAATAGTCGTTTTTACTCATATTTTTACAAAAATAGTCGCCATAGTTGCTATTGCTTTAAAATAGTCGCTTTAGTCGCCTTTTTAGTCGCCAATGGCAGCCCTGAAAGTGGTAGAAACTCAAATCATTTTTATTTATTTATTATCTCTTTAATTATTCAATCGCATCTACCACTATGACTTACATTTCACATTATTCATATATAAACATTTCTGCATTCTCTTTCAGTAGTAAACTGGAAAATAAAATGCTTTAAATAGCTGCTAATTTTAATTTCTTTTAATGATATTTTGAATTTTTATAGTTATCACATTTTGCAATTTTAGTCGCCCGTGACAATCCTGTATATGGAATGATACTGCGTTAAAATATTTTGTATTTTGCTACGCAATTCGATATTCTACACAGGGCAATGTGGCAGTAAAAATCAAAGTGAATAATAGATTTAGAATATTATCTAACAGTTGTTTTTTTTTTTTTTTAAATTATCTCTTTTTCAGCACTTCCCAAAATAAAAGCATGTTATGTAAAGACAAAAAAAAAACAAAAAAAACAAAAAATACTAGCTCAGTATAAATTTTTTAAAAAAATTCTACGCAATTATTTATCTAATACATTGTATTGCAAATTTAATCTTTTACATTTTATTTTTGAGGCTAGATAAAAAAAGTTTCCAATTCTCCTACTGTTTTCTCAGTTACGGTTTTATTATCTTTACTAAGGACTATGAGAAAAACACGTTTCATTTAACTTAGTATTTACACTCTAATTGATTTTCAATCCGTTCATCAATCACTTTCTGCTTCTTCTAAAAAGTTTGAAGTTAAATTTTTTTCTTTGAGACATTTTCTGTCTGAGTTATCGTGAATTTCCTACGTCAGAATATTAAGCTTCATTTAAAATAAATTTCCACTCTTCCCTTCCTTTAAACTGTATTTTCCATTTCTTCAAATTGGTCTGAAAAGTTCTTGTTTCGCCATCCGTTAACCTTTCGGATAAGCCTTTCAATTGTGATTATTTCCTCGATATGCTAAAAAATAATAATAAATTTAGAAGATTTAATTTCGATAATTTCTTCGAAAATCCATATGGGTTTTCGATCGTTTTCAAATTCCGATATTTTTAATACGGTGTTATTATGACAGACGAATTTCGCATTTATTATTTTTGAGACACTTCTTTGGTGACGATTCCATAACGCTTGTAATCGCTATTTCAGCCATTTCTACGTATTTTCTTTAAATTATCATTATATTATGAGTTATTAAGATACAAGAATTTGAGTAATCACTTTTTAACGCGTTTGATTTGTGGCGATTTTATCGTAAAAGCATTTTTTTTTTTTTTGCTTCTATCAATTGCTTTAGTCATTTATCCACACTTTCTGAAATATTAATATTTTTAATATAATGTAGTTAGAACTCAAAAATTTCGCATTTGAGCTTTTACATGTACTCTATTAGCGACGATTTGATCATAAATACAGGTTACTTTTTTATTGTTTTTTTCATTTCCCTCGCTTTTTTTTTTTTTCAAATTCCGTCTTTTTATACTGGTGTTAAAACAATATGCGAATTTGAGGACTTTTTTCGCGTGCTTAATTCGTGATGATAATTTCATTTCAAATTTGCATCTATTTCTTATCTTTTTTCAGCAGCAATCTATTGATTTTTCTAATTCCGATGCTTATACGATTTGATTTAAAAACGAATTTGATTTAACACTTTCTGACTACCTCAGTTCGCAAACGATTTCGTTGAACATTCACGCCATTTTCTGATCGTTATTCTGTAGTTATCATCGTTTTTTGCTCATTTCCACATAGCTTTTGTTTAATTGTTGATGTTTTTAATACGTTAAAACAACACGCGAATTTCGAATTAGAGGTTCGTATCGCTTCCGTCATAAATCCACTTCGCTATCCTATCGTTTTTTTTTTCAGTATTTATTTATTTTTCTGAATAATTTTTCATGTGATTCCATGTAATTTTTCAAACTTTAATATTATTAATACGAAGTTATTACAGGACTCAAATTTTGAAAGTGAACAATAATTTCTGGAGGCGCTTAAAGAGAAAAAAAAAATCGTGACTTCGTTTAAAAAATCGCTACTATTTTTCAAATTTGTAACTCTCAAGACCGGTAGACACCCTAGATATAATTTTGAATGCAACCCAAAAGACAAGGGAACTCCTAGATTAAGTATTAAGAAAAACAAGTTTCGTGAAGGACTTAAGAAAACTAACTCACATTGGCATTATAGTGAGAAGAGAATTTTAATTACCATTGCGGATTTAAGTCAGTACTTATTACAGTACTGTTAAGTCAGTACTGTAATAAGTGCTATTCGGAAGCAATATTCCATTCCACTAGCCTTAACAAGCTGGGACTTAAACTAAATTTTCTCTGTAGAACATGAGCAATCTACCCTTTCAGGCGTCGTTGAGCAAAATGAATGCAGAAGTGAACATTTCTGAAGAAAAAGACTTTCTTACAAACAAACCACATGCTCATAGTTAAATTGTTGGTAAGCTTTCTATTTTGGGCACAACTCAAAAAGTAGACATTAAAATAGATCGTTTTTCAAATTTCTCTCTATAAAAAATTATTCTGTAAGGAATAAACTAATGAATCCAAATAAATTAGTTATGTAATATGTATTATGTTATTTGCCTAATCCCTCAGTAAGTACATTTTTTTTAAACCAGTTTTTAAAAAGATCTTTAAAGTAAACAGTTGTTTTTACAAGGTTGTTAAGGAATCCTATAAATGTATAATATGTAATGACATTAAATTTACGTTGCTCCAATTTAGAGTTTTGATAACCTCTATTGCTTAGTCATCTGAAAACAAAGAGATAGTCTGAAAAGTTATGCCTGCAATGTACACAGATATTCTTAACCTTAAATCCTGAACTTTGCCTGTAACAATTATACTTAACGTTTAAGGAAAAGCAAATACATTTAAATGCTAAATTTAGGTTCACTATTGATTGTCCATTTTCTATATTCTCAGTCCTTCTTCGAAAATAAACACATTGCCTGAGGAAATGATGTTCATTCATCTGTGCGAAAGCGCAAAAATTAATGTTAATTATATACACAATTTGCAAAGAAAAACACATTTCTTAAGCAGTCAAGGAAAACTGGCATTTTATTAAACTAATACAAAAACAACAATATCTATAAAAATCGTCACAAACAATAAATCAGATTTTTCTTTCTTATATTGCACAAACCTATTTTGACAATATCAGTGAAAGCAAATTTTGTTCTTGGTAGGATATGAATATAAATTTATAACATTTTGACAGTAAATAATACACTTCATAAATGATAAATTAAGACTATTTTTTTTATCAATTATTACATAAATTTAAAAAATAGCATAATTTTCTTAATTTATGTGAAAATTTGAAATTGCCACTTAAGATAGACTATTTCAAGACTTTTATTACAAATTAAATTTCCCTTTTTCACATTTTTAAAAGTTTATAGTGTAAGGGGAAAAAATTATAAAATGCAAAATTTCAAATGAGTTACTACGAAACACATGAATTTTTATTTGCATTTTTCCACAAGCATTTCTTTTCAACTAATTTCTGTTTGTTTTTATGTGATAATAGGTAAATAAATTATTTAAAATAAGAGATGAATTAAAAAAGAAATTTTCTAAACTCATAAGTTTTACTTCAGAACACATTATTAACCAACAAAAATATAACTATGTCTCATTAGCAATGAAATATAAATTTTTCCCGCATTATTTAAATTAAAACTTGTGTTTCACTATACTTATAGGACAAAATAATATCTTATAAAATTTTCTATGAAATAGCAAGATGGTAAAAAATATTTTAAAGATTAAAATTGTGTATTATATTATATTTAAAGACTAGATAAAATTTTCCCTCTGAAACAAGATTTAAAACTAACAGGTTTTACAATTCATAAATGGTCTACATAAACATATACAAAAATATTTTATTAAAAATTAGAACTTAAAACGGATATAATAATTAGAAAATATGTAAACTATATTACATAAAAATTATGTACAACTCATACTCATAACTCATTAAGCTTACCTAAAACTGGTGGTATCACCAATCCTTTAACTGTCTAGTTTATCCCAATTAAATTTAGGGTAAAAACTGGCAGCTTTGCTGCACAGGAACAATTTTTTTCTTTTTCAATGGAAATAGTAGTTTTGTTCCTATAGCTCAAGAAATATATACCATTTATAAATGTAAAAAGCACATTTCACAAGCCATCTTAAAGGGGAATTTTGTTTTTATATTTTGCGAGTAATAAAATTAAGTGATCACATGTTGTTTTTTGAGGAAAAAATACTGAACATTTTTTAAATTTTCTGTTTTAATTTAATATTTCACCCTTTTTCTAGATTAAAAAAAAGTTGATTACCAGTCATTGATTTTTACTTGCAGTTAATGTCCTGAATCAAGCAGAAAATAATCCATTTTCAGACAGTGGGAGATAGAGGACTCAGTTAGTATTTCAATTTGAGGATTTCTTCAGTGCCTGATCTGAACCATTATAAGAAGAAAATGGTAAAAACTGATTTAATAGTTCCTCCATAAAATAAAACTAGTTATTATTTTTTCGCATTTGACTGCGTTAATAATACCATATGTATTTCTTTTCAAATCCCTGCTAATTCAAGACATATATAAAATGCTATATGTGGCTAAAAATTCATTACAAAAAATTTATAAATGTAATATTTCCCAACATTCTTGTGAGGTATTGTGATGGTCTATATCAAAAAGCTTTACAGTAAGCTTGAAAAAAAGCACATAGAACTGTGAATATATTGGAAATATCTCAAAGTTCTTGGAACTCTCTATTAATACCCTATCAAAGAGTAATGATTTTAACTATACACTAGCAATACAATGAACGTTCTTGTAGTTCATCTCAAACTTTTATTGAATCTTTCAAACATTAATATGGCACTAAATCTCAAACGGTGGCATCATAAATATTATATATTAGATATATCTTAAGTTTCAAATTATGAATATTTTTGCTGAGAAAAATAATGTAAAATCCTTCATAAAGATTTTATAAATTTGCTTTTGAAAGTATTGTTTGAAAAGTTACTATTTTATTTATTTAGTTTACATATTGTTACAGAAAATGAAAAAACTAGCAATAAACTTATCTGCTAATAAAATTTTTTAACAAAACATTAAAATATCTTACGGCCTTGAACTTAGATAAACGGAATAACTTTCACGATAGGAATCTTTTCTTTTTCTAAATCTCAGAACTCAGCAATATATAAAGCCGTCAAAATAAAAACATTCTTTACACTACATGTCTTTGTATAATTGATCATTTTAAGTAACAATCAAGGGTTTTAATAGTTGGTTTTGCTAAAAAAAATCTGAAATTTAATTTTTCCTGTCTAATCAGTGATTGCAATATTAGTTTCCACATCATGGCTATATAGGGTTAAAAAATACAATCTGGAGGAAAGCTGGCAAAGAAATATAAATCAAATAATTTATACAAAGCAGCACCTGAATCTAAATTGTTTGTTAAATAGTAGTACTTATTTGTTTCTTTTTTTAAAATAAACTACATGGAAGAAAATAAGTGAAGGTTAATTTTCAATATTTAACTAAGAGATTATACATATTTTTTAAATACAGTGGCCGCCACATATTAAAACAGGTTCTATCTAAGAGCATTTGGTTTTATAAACCAGAATATCTACATTTAGGAAAAAGAGGTTTCAAACTTTACAAATACAAAAAAAATTTAATTACTTCAGTTTTATTTTAACTAAATTTACATTCAACATTTTAATATTAATAAATAAAAATTGTAGCTCATATTATAAGTTCTTTTTTGATCAGCACAATTTAAAGTCAAAAGATTTTACATGGCTAATATTTTTTAAAACTTTAAATATTTCTCTCTTTGTCTTAAAATATCAGACACCTTTTGAATTTTCCTTATTGATGACCATAGACCAAAAAAATCTTGAAGACTGTTTATTAATTATCTGATATCCTTCATATTCCCTAGGAAGTGTGATCAAAATTTGTAACATTCATTTTGTTTGTAGGGAGCAGAATAAAATTTTCCATTCTTGCAGATTTGAGACCGAAGGTCAATTTGGACTATTAAGGATTAAGTGAAATAGTTTTTTAAAATTATAAACTTATAAAGATACATCAACTTATAATGCTCGATTAGTTGTTTAAGAAGATCCTTTTCAGTTGAAATAAAAGGCCAGATCTATTAAAAAATAGTACCCAAAAAGGAAAATATAAGAATATTATGAAACTTAAGGTTGCATTTCTCTCAAAGAGATCTTGTTCTTTTACCATGAAAAAACTTTTTAAATGGGCTTTATTATCATGTTTAAGCAGATTTCAAAGATTATTTAATCAGTAAAGATACATAACTATATTTATTGTCTTTAGATTTATTTATGCTGTTAACAGAATTTTTATATAGTGGTTAATTAAAATATTTCTCCAAGATTACAAATTTAAACACAGAAAAAACATTTAAAAAAAGTCTGTCATGCAAAAATGAAAAATATTTAAATTGAATAACTCCATCAATTGAGGCTAGCAGTATTAGAACTAATAGACATTTTATCCATTAATATTAGTATTATACATGTACAAAATGTAAAGTAATCCACCTTATTAGTATATGAATTTTTTTTTTTAAATTATCAATCCCATGCAATTTTGAACCCATGCTAAAGCAAGAAATTTCACTTATAAAATAAAAATGAAAACACCTCATGCTTAAATATTTTTTTACTGAGAAAAATTATTTTAGTAAACAACTGAATCCTGCAAAACATATGCATTAAAGCAAGTATCAATATTAAAACTAAACAATTTTCACTCTAGTTTTAATTACAGTAAATTAAAAAGATTCAACATCAAGTAAGAAAAAAAAGTAAACTTTTAGAACAGAAAATTATGCGCAAAGCTATGGTTCATTGAATGATTTACGTTGTATGTACTACTGAAGGTAGAGACAATTAAACTTTTGAGATGAACTTCAAGATGAATAATATTAAGTAAAACAAAACATAACATCAAATATATGTAGAGTATGTAATTTGTAGTGCTGCAATGATCATTTGAATAAATTAGCCATTAAATCATCTTGAGCTGGATATGTGTAAACGAATTACAAATTCTAGCTATAGTTCAACAAATGAATGTATTCAAAATCAGAGTCTCATAGAAGGTACAGGTTCACCGTTAATATATATCTTCCCATTGCTTTGTGCCGAATTTGATTCATATATATTAGGATGGGAAGCAAAGTATTTGGCTTTAAGAGTACCATTTTTATCAGAGTCATCAAAAGAGGCTGAAACAGTGGGTGGACTCACATGTCTCAATTTCGGGCGAGTCAATGTTGCATATTCAAACACTGCTTGTTGCTACAATTGATAAAAAAAACAATACCTTACAAACTAGAATACAGAACAAATAAAAATACTAAAAGATTAAGGGGTTAAACCTATCTAAAGTAAACAAAATAAGCCTAATAAGTTATTCAAAGAGTTCTACTAGGCAATTACTGAAGTGGAAAAAACTATTTTTCCAAAGTGATAAAAAAAATGGTTGTACAGTGCACAAAGAAGAAAAAAAAGATCATCTAAGACAGTGTTTCCCAAGATTTGGTACGCATACCCCCAGGGGTACGGAAACAGTTTAGCGGGGGTACACGTTCTTATGCAAAATACCTTGCAACAAACAAAATTTCAAAAACTTTTATTTAAAAACAAAACTAGCCATGAAAATTTACGATTATGTATTTTTCGATAGGTTATTTTTTGCAGAGTTGACAGTTAATAATTGGTGGTGTCAACAGCCAGTTGTGATTTTTAACTCCTGTGCAATTTTTTTATAGTAAAGGTTTGTAATAAATTCTACTTATTTTGATTATTTTAATAAAATATAATTTTTATTCCTAACATAGAATATGGATCGCTGGTTGGTATCTACAAAACTTTGTACCAAAAAAGAAAAAGAAACCTATTTTTAAAAAAATACATTCATTTTTTTTTGTTAGTGGTACACAGCGTTACGAATAATGTAGAAAGGGTACACAAAAGTCATAAGTTTGGGAAACACTGATCTAGGATAACTTTTGATCTAATGATCAGATCTTGGGGTGTTAGGACTCAGTCTTACAGGTTCAAGGAGGTGATCTCAAATATGTTAGTTAATTAGAATAGGGAATATTTTAAGTAACGAAATCAGATACAAAAAAAAGAAACACTTTCTCTGAATAAATATACCCCTTTTTCAATGGATTTGGATTTCAGTTCCCCAGATATATAGGGGGTAGCCACAACCTTGGAAATATGGTCCCATTGATTCAGTCAGGAGAGTGGTCCGAAGTTTGGATACTTAAATGTTAATTTTACTTTTTGCCCATTTCACAATATCAAGACACTTTTAAGTGAATTTTAAAAAAATTTGCACACAATTTATAAAGTTCGTTTTGCCAAAGATAATTTGAGACAAAAAAAAAAATAATCACATTTAGTGAGTATTTACTATATTTTATTATTTTATCCAGTACTAGTCGAAAAAATTGAAGTGTAAGGTATAACAATTTTTAATTCATTTTAAAGAATGTATTTTTACATGGCCAAATACATATTTGTGCAAAATCGGTTGAACAGTTTCTGAGAAATCGAATTTCGAAAAAGGTGTATTTCTTAAGGGGTTCAAACTTTGAACCACTCTCTTGGGACCATATTTCCCTATATCTTAGAGGTCAGAAATCTGAATCAGCCAGTAAAAAGGTATGTTAATTGAAAGAAAGAATGTTTTACATCTAATTTTGTAACTTAAAATATTGTCTGCACTAACTAATTAGCATATTTGAGGTCACCTCCTTGAACCTTTAAGATTGAGTCCTAGAACGTGAAGTTCCAATCATTAGATAAAAAATTATTCAGAGGGGCACCTTTTTTATTTTGCACACTGTACACCGTTTTTTTTTTCAATAAAACCATTTTTTTTCTTCTTTTAGAAATTTTTTTTTATTTATTACAGTAAACACTCAAAATTTTTAAATTAGAACGAAAAATAAAATTTTTCTCTCATGTAACAAAACAATTATGCTAATATTTACAGAAATGATATGTTTAAAAAAATTAGAAAGAAATCTTTAGAATATTGCACTATTGCGCAATAAAATAATCCAGTTTACTTCTGTAAAGAATGCCATTTTAAATTTAGAATTTTGACAGTTTTGTTCTAATCATGAATTCTGCAGACTTTAATACTGCAAACTTCTTAAGCTATATTTTTTCCCTATTTACAGTGGATAGCGAGAGGTGAAGCAAAATTACAAGCTATAGTAATGGATATTTTTCGTGTTGCAAGGGTACTAGAGTACATTTCAACAAATAAACTTAATACAGATTTTTCCAAAAACCTGGAGTAGCTTAACCTCATAACAAGTACTATCATCAGTGCCACCAAGACACAATATGAAGAGAAATTGCTTTCTATAATAATTTGTGACTCATAATAGCCTGGTTACAACAATTCACAACAGAGAATGGAATTGACAGAATAGTGAGCTTGTGTGTGTGTGAGAAATACTTGTATCTAATGTTAAAAATATAGCAATAAAAAAAACTTTAGTGTAATGGTATACAATAGCTTTGACCGTCATTGACCTATGATAATCACGAAATGTTGATTTCAATAGTAGACTCCCAAAGGAAGTGAGATTTTTCTTAAAACTAGCAGAATGAGTTTTGTGGTTATGATTGTAAGAAAAAAAGATTAACTTTTTCATTTTCAAAGAAAACATAATTGTCAAATGATCTTTTTTCACTTCTTATTACATTAATATAATTGAAAAGGTCTTTAATTTTATTCTTTTTCTGCAGTCTTAATATGAACATCCCATTAAGCTTTTGAACTCTGATTGCAGGGATATTTGCGCTTTCCGTGGAATAAATGTTACTTTAATGCAATTTACAAATTGCACTATTTTATGTATTGTATTTGCATATTATAATCAATGCATATCCCATCAAGTACTAGCAAAACAAAATTCCCTAACTCAGTAGAGCAATAGATTAAAGGGCATTTTTTAAGCCATAGATTTAACAGCTTTTCAGAGGCTCTGTGAAATAAAGAAAAATAGGTTTGAGATGCAATTTGTTACTCCAAAGCAGATTATTCCTTAAATACAGATACAGAAATCCATTTTCTGGTCAATGTAAGCAAGCTAAAAAAAATTAAGCAAATTCAGCTTCTTTATTTAAAAAAAAAATCATTTCCATGTTCAGCAAATTGAATCGAATGTAGGGGTTTAATGACATGAGGTCGATAAGTGGACATGATCGGATTCTGGGTTTCATCAATAGAGATCATTATAACTTGCATTCTTATAGGAAATCTTATATTTTTAAAAATTTATTTTAGTGTTAATATTTAAGCAAGAATTTTATTTTAGGAACTGTACATAAGTTTAAATTTTGCTTTGTTTAAATGTTGAAAGATAAAGAGACTGGAAATAAAGAGATAGAGAGATGCATAATCTGCAGACTGTATATTTCTGAAATAATACATATTAAACTCAAATATCAGTACAATAATTAAATAAAATTTACTACCTCTTGCCCATTCAGCTTAGACCTCACAGAATTGCTGGTAAAAACTGGAGGATGTGCCTTAATATTAGAATAGCTTTCATTGCTGCAAAAAAAGAAAACCGAAGATATTAGTAAAATACAAGTTCTGAAGATTATTTATACAGGGTTCCAATCTTTTAACAAAGCAAAAATTAAGGACTTTTTTTTTGAAAAAATTAAGCACTTTTTTGAAAAATTAAGGACTTATGCCACCAGTGACAGTGCCAATTATTTACCTTTCTAAAAACACCAATAAATAAAAAAATAATAATAAGCAATTTTATTATAATGTAAGCACTGATATAATTGTATTAATTAACAGGTCTCGGCAAAGAAGCACCAGGCAATTTTTGCAAACCCAGGTTGGGTTTTTTGAAAAAATATTTCAGATTGTTAAAAGTTAATGTCATTTAGATTGTAAAAGTTAACATATGAAACTAATCTGCATTCAATTTTTAATGATTTCATTGAAATTGAATTGTAAAAGTAAGTGCAGAAATTAGGATTCTTTTCATGTATATTTAAAAAAAAAAAAAAGGTAAATAAAGAAAATTGGCAAAAACATTTAAAAAATTATTACTGGAAGTTTTTATATTTTGCTACTAGACCAGCAAACGTATTATAATTACTTTTATGATGAACTTTAACAGAGTTATTTCCAGCCAAACATGTTATTAAGAATTAACTTTACATAATGTTACTAAACATTCTGGTGAAAATTATGAACTAATTTTAAAGCAACCAAAAATTTAACAAAAATTAAAAAACAGCATATTAAGCTACAATGTTAACTGAATAAAATGATTATTAAAATCTAAGGATCTTTTAGTTGAGTAGATTTAAATTTTTATGTAACATTCTGCTTATAATTAGTGATGCTAAAAATGAAGGACTTTCAAAAACCTTGTACCAAAATTAAGTACTTTTAAAGGCCCTAATTTTCCAAAATAAAAATTAAGCAGTTTTTAAAGACCGTGGGAACCCTGTTATAAGTATGAATTTCTGATTTCAAAAAGCTATATCAACAGTACCTGGTTTAAAGAATGAAAATTTTATTGTAATTTCATGGGTACCAGAAGCTTTGATTAGAAAAAATAGCTAAGTACACTATCAGAATAAATACTTTGCACAAGGAATGAGAACATTTTCTCGGCTTTCCACAGTATTTCAAGAATAAACACGAAAATTTATACCAATTTTATAACTTAAATAAGAATTCTAACTAAATGTTTCTTAATTTATATTTCATATTAAAAAGGCTGATTGAAGGTAAACTTAAGACCGAAATTGAACTTTTCTACTTTTATGTCATAATGCTAGAACAAATTAAACCTTTCATTATTTTTTATTTTAAACCAATCAAAGTCACATGCCAAACTTAATTAAATTTTGATTCAAATACACTGCAGTCATGAATGTGATAGCAAAATGTCATAATTTAAAAAAGATTTTTTTCTTTAAAATTTTATGACAATAAGAGTTGATTTCTCTATCCAGTGAATTTACTACTCTTTCATTAGTCAAAGTACTACATCACCACTGCATGAGAAAAAGTATTGTTTTTTTTTACAGAGATTGTGAAACAGTGTGAGGTTTTGCCAACAGTGTGATATGGCTCAATAGCTATACAGACTTAAAATAAGACTAATACATATTAAGAATTAGACAGTATTTATTGATTCTAAAAAAAACAATTTGAATTAAGAAAAGCTTGCATTTTTGAATAGATGTGTAAAAGAAAATTCATTTACGAATCATCAAAAATATAGTAAAGCTTTAAACATCTATTTAATTCACTCCTGACTATTAAATTTCATTAAAAAATAATTGTAAGTTAAAATTAATTTACAATTAATTTACAATCATAGAAAAATTTATAAATCTTACCTCAAGGAGGATGAGGGATCCTTTACCCTCTCAGTATATGACACAGGAAACCAACCAGATCTGAAAAAAATAATAAAATTTTGCCTTAGTTTCCAGTTGCAATCTATTGGTATTTATATATGTATAGACAAAAATCTATACAGATAGTGCATTATTAGATACCCAGTGGCAGAATTTTTTTTGGACTTTCTGCGACAAACTTCCCTAGCACTATTATCTTTCTGCAAGACACTTTTAATTATAACAATTACTAATTTAAAGTAACAGAAGTGTTCTGTTTACAAAAGGGAAAGAGAAACTTGTATAAAAAGCAGTAAATTATTTTTTTAATTGTTAATGCAATAAGTTTTTTATTCTAATATTAGGGGTGATATTCTGGCATTTTGTAGGTGGAAAAACTCACTAATAATTTCTTTTTTCGAATTTTGCAAATTATCATAACATTAAACAAATATAATTAAAAATTGTTAAAGCCTTGGCAGAAAATATCAAAAAAAAATAATTATGAAATCACGCGAATCGGACTTTTTAAGGAGGGGTTATTAAAATGCGTATCAAGTTTCAAAATTGGGTTGTTGTAATAAATAACATTGTATTGAAATTATCGGAATTTATGAACTATATGGAAGTTGACAGGAATATCTAATAAAAAAAATTTATAGAATAATTGCGTCAAAAAGTAAATACTCAAATAGACAATTCAAATTTCCCATAATGCTGGAAATATATTGGGATATTTAAATAACACATGAAAATGAATATCCATAAATGCCGAAAATACAATCGAAACACCACTTGGATTTATGATAGTATAGACGTAAATTTAGCTCATCAAAAAGTGTTAATTTAGATGTGTAATTCAAATTTCATGAGTGAAAATCAGGGAAAATTGTGACACAAAGTGAAAAACCCTGAAAACTTTATATGCTAAAAATCAATATCAATTTATGTACCAGACATGTTTCTTATTTAACATTAATTTTTTGAACTTGCATTTATAATTAAATTACCTAATAATGAAGAATATCACACCTTTATAGTAAACTAATTCAAGAAAAAACTTACTTCTTACAAGAATATGCGATAACGGATTTTAAAATTAAGTGAATATGAATTGCGATGTTGGATTTTTAAATCTGCGCCAATAAGAATTGCAATATTGGATTTTAAAACCCAAAACACGAATTTTAATATTGAATTTTAGATCACGTAAATACAAATCACTATGCATAATTTTTAGATCGCGTGAATACGAATCGCAATGCAGTTTTTAAATCATATATAAATACAAAAATCTATTTTTGATTTTTGTGAATTTTAAACGCGTGAATACTTATTGCGATATTAGGTTTTAAAAGTGAGCAAATATATTGGATTTTTAATTTGAAATTAACAGGAATCGCGATATACGATTTTTAAATCACATTAACACGAATCACAATAAGCAACTTTCAGACATGTGTATGAAAACGCCTCATTAACGAGATTTAGCAAAAGTTTCACAATTTAGTTGGAAGAATGACACGAAAAGCTTGGAATTCCGGAGTACAACCAGAGAACAATCACCCCTGCAAAATATCAATTAAGAAATACTGGAATTTTAAAAAATTTGAAAATCATCAGCACAAGCTAAAACTGCCAAAAAAATAATGAAATCATTACATTAATAATCTTATGCGTGATTTAAATTTTGTGAGAAATAAAATGGTCTATAAAAATATTGAGATTTTTTATTTAAATGTGAAAAATTGTAACAATAACTATCCTAAAAAAAGATTGAAACACCACATGGATTAACGATGATATTGGCACAAAGCGAGCATGTCAAAGAGCACTTTCTTGAATGCATGATTTAAACTTCCTAAGCTTTAATAATATCTGTATTTAAAAAAAAATATCACAAAAATATCAATGGTATAATTGAACAATGAAAGACATAGATGTGATTTTAAAAATCGAAGTATAAAATCGTAGCAATAATTGCCAAAAAATGATCAAAACACTACATAAAGTTAGGATGGAATTGGCATATTTTTTAAAGCCTCAAATGCAAGATTTAAAAATAGTTTGACCGTAATATATTAATATAATAAATTTTATTCATTTCACACAAATTTTAACAAAAATAGGGCGACAAATGTACCATAATGATTCATTCCTTTGCCACAAATCTGAATTTATAACAAAATTCCCACTCGCAGTCATATTACTATATCACAGTCATATAAAACCAAAATATTTCACTTCCCGAATAAAAAATCTTTCCACAAACAACTATAACATTCTGCGACAATGTCACCGTGATTCTGCCATAAGCATTATATAAAATATATACATCTAACACATTCACTTGTTACTAAATTCATGAATAATCACATAACTAGACTTTTAAGCTCTCAAATTATATGACACTATCAAATTTGGTCGTACCAACACATGTACTCTTACTTGAAATTTCTTTTTAAATACAATAGAATAAACAACTGAAGTTTACTGCAATATTACTGCTTTAAAAAATGAACCAAATGCATAAAACCAATAAAAAAAACATACAATGTCATTAAGTTAATATCTATGAATTGAGTATAATTTATTATGCTCAGGACTCTTGTTTGAGACAGTTAAATTAAGCACTGTAGAAAGAGCATAAATAGGTTTCTGAAATCAATATTTATAAACTGCAAAAAAAAAATGGAATAAAATTAGAAATCAAATTTTAATTTAATGTAAATGAAAATAAATTTATTTTTTTAAAATTTTATTTTATTTGTAATTTAATAATAATAACCTGGTATAAAACCAGAGCACTATTGTATTGAGAACACGTTATGAAGTTTAATCAAACATGAATTCCACTGATTTTTACATTATATCTTAGTAACACTCATTAATAGCATATAAGTTAGAATACATAAACTACAAAAGTATTTAAAATATATATTTTACCTTCTAGTGGTCAAATTATCACCAAACTGCCAACCAGTCGTATTCTCTTCTGTTATATATTCAATGACATCCCCCTCATGAAGACCTAGTTGGTGATCTCCAGATGGCTCATAAGGATAGAGTGCTCTTGCATAACTTGTCTCACTTGAACCATTGAGTTCAACTGTTCGACTTAGCCTTTTTAAGCCAGGATCTTGAAATAATGAAACACAATATAAATAAATAGTTGTAATGCACAGGGCATAAAACAGCCTGAAACATAAAAATTTTATTTTGTTAACTAGAAAGTTTTTGCATCAATTCAACCAAGTTTAGAAAGTTTTTAAAAAATTTTGATTTTAACTTAATATACAGTAGAATTATTTTTTCCTAATGAACACACAAAGAGAAAGATTAAAATAACAAATTAAGCAACAAAAAATCGCTTGAACTATGAAAATATTTAGTTATAACTAAATTAGAAAAAACTTTTTCGTTGTAAAAACACATAAATAGTTATTACAGGGTTCGTATTCAAAAGGAAGTAATTTTCTCCTCAACTTTTCCAGGTTTTCAAGATAAATTCACGTAAAAATCCAAGATTTAAAAATCAACAAAATTAATATTTAATAAAAAATGTATTTTAGAATTATAAATAAAATTGAAAAAAACATTAAAAACTAAAAAACATTTATAAATTATTTTTATTTAAATAAAATTTGGTGATTTAAGTTACGCCGATTCTGATTAGAAACAATAAATTGACAGAATTATTTATGTGAAGGAATAATAAGACAAAGGGAATTTTACTGAGCAATATTAAAAGAAAAAAATTACAAGTATATACGAAGTTATGATAAAATAATAAATAATCTGTATATGATTCAAGTTAAATCAATATAATAAAATTTTTGAAAACAAAACTGCAATTAACAATTAAAGCCTAATGTATTCTTTTTTAACAGGACTACAGCCTAGTGCAGACCAAGACTTTCTCAGTCTGCCTGTTCCAAAAAGTTCAACTTATAGCTAGATTTCTCCATCTATTCACTTCTAATAATTTTAGGTCTTCCTCCATACAGTTCAACCCCCTTGTTGCTGGTTTCCCCGTCTTCCTTATACCTCAATCTTAGAAAATGTCAGATTTTTAGTTAGATCAGAATCATCACAATGAAAAACCAGTCCCAGATTTCCTGATCCTGAATGACCAAACTGAAATAACTCTCTAAATGTTCAGTCGCCTTTATTTATTATACACTTCATGGTTATATAAACTTCTCCATGCATTATTTTTTTTCACTGCTCCAAAAAGTGACCAATGGATTTTTCTTTCAAAAGCGAGCAATTTATTTTCTTCTTTATTAAGCGTCCAAGTCTCGCTGCCATACAAAATAATCTAATAAGTGTTCTATATAAACTTAATTTAGCACTCATGGAGATAAATTTAGATTTTAATTGGTTCTTCAGTACAAGGTAACATCTATTAGCCATCAAAATTAGGTTTCCAATTTCAACTTTTAACTAATTTTTATTGGTAATGTGTGCCCAGTTACTTAAACTGGATAACTACACTTCAATAATAGCACACATTGTACTCTGGTGCTAACCACCATAAATTTAGTTTTTTCTTCACTTATTGTTAAACCCATGACTTTGGCAGAATCCTCAAAGTCCATAAACATTTCTATCACATATCATTTCGTTCACCCAACTAGATTAATGTCATCTACATAGTTATAATATATATTAATTAATATAATTAATACAATAGCATCAAGTAAAAAATTTAATATTGGAGGGATAAGCAGCAATAAGATTGTCTAACTTAATTGAATGATACTAATTTTTAAAAAAATTTTGAACAAAAATATTTTTTTAACACCAAATATCATACCATCTTAAAAAGAAATAAAAAAATATATAGACAATCCATCAGTGATTAAAGTTAATCCATACTTATTAAGTTAAACCAAATACAGTAAATAACTAATACAGGATACTTTTCAACAACAGACAAGCAAAAAATTAAATAAATAAATAAAATTAAATAATTAAGGGCAAAAACGTAGTATTTTTAATCCTTAGCTATAAAATAAATAAATAAACTATCATAAAATATGAAATAAACTGCAAAAAAAAACAAAAATAAAGAAAGAACTATAAATAAAAATAATAAGGGAATAAAATAAAAGAACTTTTCAACAACTAAGTCATCCCTAAAAAAACACAAAATAGCAAAATTAACAAAAATATTATAAAATAAACTGCCTTTAAATGAAATTAAATCATTTTTAAACAATTAATGAACGTTTTTAAGAACAGAAAAAAAAATACTAGAAAAATGCAATAAGTTAAGATTCTTGATTTAAAAAAAATTTTTATCTTAAATAAAATGGATAAATAGATAAAAATATAAATTAAAATGATAAAAATGCAAAATTAATTTTAAAAAATATCAATAAAAGAACTTCTTTTAATGATAACTACAAAACCAAAATAAAATGAAAGAAATATATAAGTTAATTGAAGTTATTAATTTAATTGAAATTAGGCAAATTATAATAAACTGTAGATTTATTAAAATCATTAAATTAACTAAATTAAACAAAATTAGTGATTAAAAAATGCAATATATTTAATAACTAATCATAAGGGAAAAGAAAACAATAAAATACGAAAAACTTACAAATCTAATTAAATAAAAGCAAAACTTAAAAATTAGCAAGCAGAAACAAAAGTTAAAAGAAGCGGAGACACAGCAAAATATAATAAGATCAAGTGAATTTTTAAAAAAAAATCTTTATCTTAAAATTTATGAATGAGAAGAACTAAATTATTGAGTATGAAATTTATTGTGAATGGAAGAAAAAAAACTCAAAACCTAGTGAAATCAGAAATGTATCATTTGTGATAAGAAAAAATTGCAATCTGCTTCATTGTATAATCGTCTGCTTTCAGTAATAAATAAATGTATGCTTTATATTAATAAATAAAGGCTTTTCAGCAGATTTTTAATGAAAAGAGGTGCTATTCCACATCAGGCAAAACTTGCAAATGATACTGAGAGATCAGAATACAATTAAAAAATATGATTCATTAATAGATATCAAATAAATTAACACATATAGCAGACAATAAAATATAAAACAATAATTTGTTATAATAAATCAAGGATCACAAAAATTAAAAACAAAAGTGGATTTAAAGAAGAAAAAAAACAGCATGTCAAAACAGCAATTCTCAAGGCAGAAATTTCAAGTTCCTTAACTCCGAATTGCAACTGAATAAAACGCTCCAGAATAGTAGGAGAATTTTTAGGATACACTTACGGTCAGCCCAGAAAAAATCAGAATTTTTTTTTTTTAAAAAACCTTTATTTCGCAAGCGCAAATAAGGCATCAAAAATGGAAGAGTGATATCCCGCAATTTCCCTCGATGTCAAATTTTTTAACAATTCCTGGTCTAAATTATGTTTTCTTCCGACATTTCCTGACTGTTTTTCGAATCTTGTTTTCCCTGACAATTCTCGATTTTCCTGACATTCCAGATGTATACAAACTCTGTAAAAATGTCATTGCCTTTTTTCCAGAAATACAATTTTCATGCTTGTTGGACAGCAGTATTTTAGGTATAAAGAAGAAAGACCAAGAAAGAGTTACCTGGATCCAAAACCAATCACCAAATCATATGACTAAAAATTCAGATTAACAAAATTTCTTATATGCAGTGATACATAGTGTGGTGTGATCATGGGATAACCACAATATTTACTTTTCATACTGGGCTGTCTCCAACAGGAGCGCCCTCTTCTTTGCCTTTGCAGGATCTCTAGAGCTCGACTCATAGCTCGTTTTTAGAGATTCTTGCAACCGCTAGGGAGGGGACGCTGGCTTTTGGAGATAGACCAGTATTCCCCGTGGATCTCGAGCAGTTGGTTGCTTTCTTAAGCAGCAGGATAATTTTTGTTTTTTTATCCCCCTGTGTGCTCTAGAGTTTAATCGTTGATTTTTACCATAATAAGTTTTTCCTTATCTTCTAATTATTTATTTGATGCATCATGTAAATTCAGCAAGAAAACAATTATTATTTCAATGACTTAAATTAAATTACTATCTACTCCCTGGAGCACACAAGGAGGATCCAGCATCCACGTGGTGGATTTAGGCTCTTGTGAATTGATGAGCCGCATACTGAAATGAACATGTTCTTAAAACCGAAATGAAATAAAAATGCTGAATGAATGCCTTTCGTCTACAAAAAAAAAAAATTATGTAAATTATTTTGTTTACAATACTTGCAATTACTGGGTACTGATCTATTCCACTGAGTCGATTTTTCTCAATTTAACAATTGAGTATTTTTACAAGATTTTTCAAATGACAAATGTATCAAAACTATTCAATGTTGATATAATTGCATATTTTACTTTTACTGCATGTGATATGTTAAGGATATGTGTACCATGATTTATTGAATTTATTTAATATGATTTGTTGATCATTTGTTGAAATGATTATACTTGTTTTTATAAGGAATGAAAATGTTGTACGTGTACATAATTAACAGGGTCATTCTTATTTTTACGAGTGATATTTCTCTTAGAATTGGTAATTTTTACAATTATGAAGAAAAATGTTTGTATTTTACAAACAAATTAAAATTTTAGGTTCTTTTAAGAGAAAATTGAATATCACGATTGAATTTTGATTATCACACTGAATACTCACACGTATTCACCTTTTTGGTTATATTTATTTATCCAAGTTTTTTCTCATTTATTTTTGCTACATAATTATAAACATTTAATAATGGTGGTCATAATTACTAATGCTTAAGCATTTTATAGTTGACTTTATTGTCATGCGTCTTAGGATTTCTTTATCGAAATTAACATTCAAAAAAAAAAAAAAAATAAATTTCTTTTGTGGAATTAACATTTTTCCTAGGTTTTTAAAGTTATTCCATAATGTGACAAAAATATATTTGAATGACTTCCAATGAGAGTTTTTAAAGGTAATTCCTATTTGCTTTAATATGATTGAATTACTTATAATGAGAGTTTTTGATGTTATTCCAAGTGCAGCGAATGCTTTTATAGTGAAAAGTGCATTTAATGTGTCAAGGTTGTTATTATATGTGATATTTACTCATACTTGTAAATGCCATTTTACTTTTCGTCAAAGGTTTAACCTCACCTTGTCATCCCACCTCAACAATTATGGTTTGAATTTCAAGAAAAAAAAGCAATTATTTTATAATTGGCCATCAGGACAATTGAACTCTGTTTTCAGGGCACCAGTCAAATTGTCTTTTACTGAGGACACTTATGTAGCTCAACATTTTATTTAATGCATATGTTTACTCAAGATTTTTTTATGTTGAACATGATATGTATGTATGATTTTTTTATCTTTATGATTCACATTTTATGTTAACGGTAACTTAAGTTTTTTGATTTTAACTTTTACATTTTAATGGGGTAATTTAAACTTAATTTTTTTCATTAAAGGGGTGGCTATTAATTTTTTCCCATTCAAAGGGGGAATTTGTGGTGTGATCATGGGATCACCACAATATTTACTCTTCCTACTGGGCTGTCTCCAACAGGAGCGCCCTCTTCATTGCCTTTGCAGGATCTCTAGGGCTCGACTCATAGCTCGTCTTTAGAGATTCTTGCAACCGCTAGGGAGGGGACGCTATCTTTTGGAGATAGACCAGTATTCCCCGTGGATCTCGAATAGTTGGTTGCTTTCTTAAGCAGCAGGATAATTTTTGTTTTTTATCCCCCTGTGTGCTCTAGAGTTTAATCGTTGATTTTTACCATAATAAGTTTTTCCTTATCTTCTAATTATTTATTTGATGCATCATGTAATTCAGCAAGAAAACAATTATTATTTCAATGACTTAAATTTAAATTACTATCTACTCCCTGGAGCACACAGGGAGGATCCAGCATCCACGTGGTGGATTTAGGCTCTTGTGAATTGATGAGCCGCATACTGAAATGAACATGTTCTTAAAACCGAAATGAAATAAAAATGCTGAATGAATGCCTTCGTCTACAAAAATCTGTTTTTTTTTCATTTGAATGGGGATATACAACATCTAGCACAAGCAGTTGGCGGATGATCTACACCTCATGGCCCTTCCTTCAACCACACCCCTCGACACATAGGAATTACTTAAATGTTACTACTTTCAAATAAAAAAAAGCATAACATAAATAATAAAAGTCTTACAATAATTTAATGATTCACATACTATAGATTTAGTCAAATCTCAGTATCACAGAATCTTAAGGAGGCACTAAAATTTGGAACAAAAAAATTGGAATAATAGTACCATTATAGTTAAAACTAAATCTAATATAAGCATTTTAAAAGTTATATAGCATGTATTTACTTCAAACAACATAGATACTTCAAATTATTATTTTCTCATGAATTAAGACAATGACAACAGTGATACAAAATAGTTTTCTGGACATTTTTTCTTTTTTCGATCTATCAATTTCTCAGTTTTTTTATTAGAACTTCAACAAATTGTTCATAAATTTTGTAAAGAGGCATTTCAAATTTTTCAGAAATTAGTAAAAAAATTATTATCTTGGTAATCAAAAAATCGCACAAAATGTATTTAGCTCTGAAAGGTTTTTTTCTACGCATTAGCAAATGTGTAGAGAAATCAGTTTTTTTTTTTTGCAATATTAAAGTTAGACTTAGCTGCCCTACTAGAATTTGAAATAAAATTTAAATTAAACAACAATTTTAGCAGAATGATTGGTGGTTGAAATGTAAAATAAAATATGATCAAGAAACAAAAATGCAGTGCCAAATTCAAATGTTCTTACAATTTCATGGGAACAAAAATCAGACTATGTTAAACAAAGTAGACTGGTAAAGATAAAAGAAGATAAAGACTAATATAAAACTAAGGCAAGCAACTTTAAAGAACACAGTTCACCTTTGAATTAGAGACTGATCAAAAACTTCCTTTCTTAGATGTTCTTGTGACTCGGAATGATAAATGATTCCATACTACTGCCTTTCGTAAACCTTTTACTGTTTCTCTTCCCCCTTATTACAAATCCTCCCACCCTCCTAACCAAAAACTTGCCTCTTTTCGGTCTTTTGTCTACCATGCTGTTAATATTTGTTCTAACATTGATTTTCTTGATTCAGAATTAAATTACATCAAAGCCATTGCTCATGACAGAGGTTATTCTCCTAACATTATTGATAATATTTATAAAAACTTAACTAAACAATCGCCTACCGATATACCTTCCAAAGAATTTTCTAACAATTTAGTCATTTTACCCTATTTTCCTAAAATAAGTCGGCAAGTTGCTTATATCCTAAAGAAGTTAGATCTTAATATTATTTTTAGTCCCATTAATAAGATAAAATTTTCTAATCTCAAACAGCCCATTGACAGTCAAAATAGCTGGGGTATATACCAAATTAATTGCCAATGTGGCCTTTCATATATTGGCCTAACTAAGCGTGCCTTAAAGTGCCATGTCAAGGAACATGAAGCTTATGTCAAAAAACAAGAATTTAAAAGCTCATCTATTGCCCAACATTGTTCGGACTCTAATCATAATTTTAATTTTTCTTCTTCTAATGTCATTCAAAATTGTTCTTCAATTTTTTATTTAGATTTTTACGAGTCTTCTCATATTTTCAAAAATTCCAAACTGTTGGTCAATGACCTATCCAGCGTCCCTTATCTTTATCCTGTTTGGAAATCTATGATTAAACCTAGCTAACCACCTTTTTTGTTCCTTGCTTCCTATTCGTTGTCATCCTTGCACGCTTCCCTCCTATTGGTCGTTGCTCTCTTGTGATGTCACCTTTCTCTATATTTATTTACCCTGTTTTCTCTCTTTTCTTTCTGTTTCACTGATGAAGGTTGCCCTTTGAGCATCCAAAACAGAATTTATAAATATTTTTGTGCTCTTAATTGTTGTTTGCCTTAGTTTTGTATTTTAGCACAAAGGTCGCCCACTTGTGTATTTAAAGACTAATATACCAACAAAAGTTTACCTGATTTAGGAGAGGAAGTAGGTAGACTTGGAAGACAATACTCAGATTTAGCTCTAATAATTGGTCTAGCATAGATATTATCTTCCGCTTTAGAAGCTCTCAAGGTGTGTGACATTACCGAATCTCGATCATTTTTCCCATAGCTACGAGCAATTGAGTTGTTGCGTATGACAACATCTAGCATACTGTCCAAAGAATACATGCTTTCCATATTCAAAGGTACAGGCTAAAAAATAGAGATATTTAATTTTCTTTTATTAAAATTATTTAACAATTCTAGTAGAACTGATAACAAGTAGAAACCAAACTCTGAGAATATTATGTTTCTACCCACTAATAACTATCAGCAATAACAGACTGTAAAAACATTTTTGATTGAAGTTTCTGTAAATGTCAGTGGTAGCAAAGATATGTTCTTAAACTTTTAGCATTTAAAATATTAAAATTTAAAATGCAACTTTTTTTTTCCAAATGGCATGATTAACTGTACTACATTTAATTGCATGAAGATTATAAGGATTATGTTTATAAAAGTACAGAATATAAATTCCAATCTAATTACAAAAAATAAAATAAAATAAATACTATCTGTAAGTCAAAGGAATATAGGTTTGTTTTTCAAATTACAAGAAAAAGGCTGCTACAAAATAGGTATTTTTAATTGAAATGCACCAAAGGACATGTGGCTTTAAATAAAAATCAATTTTTATATTTTTTGATTATGATTTCACTTATGATACTGGTGGAAATTCAGAAAATCTGTAGCTCTCATCCTTAGATGCAGAATTAAGAAATATTAGCAATCAAATATGCATTTAGATAATTAAAAAAAATTACACATAATGACTTAATGACTAATGAATACACATAAAGTCAAAATAGGGTTTTAATTTTTCATAAATTGAAGACAATGAGATGTAGATGAAGTTGCACTACACAAAAATGTAATTTACTAACAAACTTTTAGTGTCAATGGAGATGGGATATGAAGGAGCAACCTGGGCAATTGCTCCTTCATATTCTCCCAAATGGTTCCAAGCAATAATAAATAGAAGACTGCTAATTTCATTTAATGATTTTGAAATCTATTAAAGTTGCTTCAAACCAAATTTAAAAATTGATAGAAACACTTCAAGTAGCATACGAGACTACTATTTTGATTGGAACATAAGCATAAAAATTAAAACACAAATAAATAAAATAGAAAACAAATATATGTCATTCAAAAACGAATTTATGTTTTATCTTTTTCTCTTATATTTATTTAATAAAAAAAAAAGCAAACAAGCATAATAAAGTCTTATTTGACGATTTCCTTTTAATGATTTTAACACTTCACAAAATACTAAGACATATATATAAATAGGTAATTAAACTTTTAATGTGTAGTAATTGACTATATTTTTTTTTTAAAAAAAAACATTATAATAAATATTTCTTAATAAAACTTAATTTCATCAATTTTAGGTAATGAAATTCATCAACCATAAAAATCTAAATTCAATTAACTTTAATATGCTATAAATGAAAACATCAACAGTAAACAGAAAAAAATGTCAATAAAATTTATATTTTGAGAAATATAATTTCAGTCAAAAAAATAAAACAAAATATTGCAAACCTGAGGTGAGCATTTAATAGCATTGTATATCATTTCAGGTAACTTATCTCGAGTTTCAGCTATTCTTTCCCACATTGGAAGTTGCTCTTCTAAAATTTCTGAGCCCTAAAAAAATTATCATGTTACACAAACTTGAATGTTAAAAAGTAATAAAAGAAACAAATATGATTAAAAGGATATTTCTTAAAATTAAAAATAAATGCTAAAAAAGCAATGCAACTAAGATTCTAACTAGCTAGTACTACATGAATCCCATTTAAAAATGCACTAAACAATTTTGAATTTTAATAGGTTGGTAAAACAATTGATAAGCTACCATTTGTATTAGTAAACAAAGAAAAAAAAATATTAAGTTTTGTTATGAGTATTTTTCCTCTTTTAATTTGTTTTTTAAAATATAAAAAGAAATTTTAAGGGAAATACATTGCAAGTGTTATAATTAGGAAGGGAACAATATTTGAAGAAAAAATAGGTTTTTAAAAAAACTTCCCTTTTTGCTGTTGCACTTAGTAAATTAAAACAAATAAACTACTGAGGATTTTAAAAATTAATTCAACTAAATAAGTATTCAAAATGTATCACACAGATTAAATGAAACAGATTTAGGTTAGAGAAAATTTCAATTGATTTAAAATATTAAGAATAATTCATCGCAATAAATAAAATATATAATACATTACATTCAAGCAATAACATATTTCTAAATTTACTTAAAATAATTATAAAAATTACAAATATGAAATCTTACTTTGGTGTGGTAAATTAAAAATTGCCTATTAAGCGCACATTGTCTTTCCAAAACTGTGCCATACATAACTCTTTCTTGTATTATAGCCTAAATAAAAGAATACAAGCAAATGAAATAAATTCAAAGACCAAAATCATTCTCAAATACAACTTTTTACTGTGATTTTACAACTTTTTACTTAGATCAATAATAATAATTGATAAATGATTATGAAATCGTGAAAAATTAAAATAAGTGAATGTCAGTATTCAATCATTCTGGTGTATGTCAGAAATACTTGTAAAACATATTTATTTTTCACTTACACCAGCAAAAGCTGAGATTCAAAATGAAAAAAAAAAAATTCCATGTTTACACCTTACAGCTCTCAGTCATTTCATGCTTAATGTATGTGGTGCAACTATGAAAATTAATTTGTTTTCTTGCTTCTCAAAGTAAAGTTTATTACCAAAAAGAAACATGAATTCAAGTCTTTCACCTTTATATGCATGCAAATATGTATTATAAAGAGAGAGCAAAGACTACTTATATCTAACAATTAGGATAAAATGAAACAAAAAATTTTACACACCAACAAACCTATATTTTTTCCCCTCCAAACTGAGTACAAAGTAGAGCAAGAAACTTTTCCAGAAAAAGACAAATTAGCAGTTCAAAATTTATTTTATAATGATAATAAGCAATTCAAAAATTTATTTTATAATGATCAATATTAAGAAAATTGAAAATGTATTACTTTTGATTTTAAGCATCAAATTTAAATTATAACAAGAAATTTACAAAAGTTGTTGCACATTTTCATTTGATTTCCTCCAAATAATACTAATAAAATTAAGATGTCAATAACAAACTCAATGTTTGGAGAACTAAGATTTAGATTTTTACAACCCAAAAAATAACCAGCTTTTTTGCTACACACTAGGTCGTAATACATCTAAAAATACAAAATATTGTAATCTATTTCACTAAAATAGTACAACAATCTGTTTTTAAATTTTAATATTTTTTTAATAAATATAAATAGAATCATATTTAAATTATCTGAACTGAAAAAAAAAATTAGCATTTTTTGTACAAGTTTTCAAAATGTGTGTGTTAAAACTTAAAGAAAATTAGAGAGCAGGAATTTCATGACCAGCAATGTACCTCAAAATTTTCATAACTTTAACAAAAAGCTTTTTATTATAATAAGCTTTAATAAATACTTTTTCATAAGAACAAAAAACTCTTTTGTACCTCTTTTAAACTGTCATTACAAAACACTTCCAATCGCTCTTTGGCACTTTCCAACATTTTCATATGCTAAAAAAATAAGTATTAATAATTAAATAACTTCTTTAGAACATGATAGATAGTAATAACCATTTGGAAAAAAAATTTATTTACAGATAATTGCTTGTCTGTGTTAATATTCTTTTTTCTTCTAGTCTTTTTCAGTGTTGAAACACATTTTAGGTAGGCTTCTCGGCGACCTTTGTACAACTGCTGAAATCTTTTTTGTTCTCTCTGAAAACGCAGACAAATCTAAATACATTTGCTTACCAAACAAAGTTTAAAAAAATTTAGAGTCATTTTAATAATACAATTTTGAAAAATTATTTAAATATTATTAATAAGAATATTTGTGATGAATCTGAGCATAAACTGAAAAAAAAAGGGAAAATTTAGAATACAGCTTAAGAATAGTTTCAGTAAACTGACTTAATTTTGGTAACTGAAGCTTATCTAATAAAATTCTTACAGCATTGCTTCTATTTTTTCACACAACTTCACAACTAAGCTACAACAATTTTTTTTTTCCAATTTTATTTCCATTGGCTGATCAGAAGACAACTGTAGTTAAAAAACAGACAATAACAAGAGAAACAGAAGGAAAGATGAACAATACAACAAAAACAAAACTACATGGAGTCTGTAGATTCATTTTGTGGCGGGCTCTCCAATACTTCTTCCACAAGTGTACCGAGTTTAGTGCGGGGCACTGCTTAATGTGGTTTAAGTCCATTTCTTCTTGGATATTACACAGTGTGCAAATAGGGCTTGGTAATATATTTATACAGAATAGATGTTTGGAAAGGCAGTCCTGGCCAGTAGCGAAACAAAAGGTGGCCACAGACCTGTCCCTTGGCCATAGTGGAATATCCTTGATGTCGTTTATCCATTTCTTGTCTTTATTTGCCTCGTTTATATTTTTCCAAAAAGACTCTCTAAAAGACTTTTTAATTAATCGCTTGGCGGTGGGATAAGGAATTGGTTTTTTTTATTATTTGTGTGATTTCGGTTGCTTTCTTTGTCAAGGAGTCTGCTCATTCATTTCCCGAGAGTCCGCAGTATGCTGGTACCTACTGCAACGCAACCTCCTTGTGGCTTTCTATTAGGTTATTTAAGGTCAGGCGACAATTCAAAACATCCGCTGATGCAGGAGCCTCAGATGATGAAATGGCTAGGAGGGCAGCCCTAGAATCTGACAGAATGACAACCTTTGAAAAATTTTCCAGTTGGCATTGAAGCTGTGTTAAGGCAAATCAAATTGCTGAGATCTCTGCATCAAAGGCTGTTCTAAACCTTCCAACAGGAGAGTAAAAGGAAAAAAGCCTACCAAAGACGCCAGCGCCTATGTTTACACAGTTTTTCATCATGGAGCCATCTGTAAATATATGCACCCATTCGTAGCTACAACAACTAAGTTTAGGTAATTTTATTATTTCATGTTTACCTTGCAGAAATCATCTAATTTATTATAAATGAAGATTTGAAATTTTCAGTGAAAAGAAAATAAACTCACAATATAAGAAAATTCTTATCATAAGAAACATATTTGAAATAAGAATATGAAATATGACAGGAAAACTGCCAACAAACTTTACAACACTACTTAAAATATTTGTAATATTATCTTGCTTATCATAAAGATATTTAGTTTCCATATGCATAATTACCAACTTTTCTGGTTTTTCCATAAGATCTTATTTTTACATTTGAAGAAAAGGAAAAAATTTATTATAATAAATAGAACTTTATTCATATAATGAATTTATTAGATTTAAAATAATATTGACCACGATTAGATCTGATTCATTTTTTATTAAAGTGACATTTATAATCTACTTTTGTCAAAATGCATGAGTTTTAAAACCTTATACACAACAGAAGGGTTAGAAATAATGTGACAAATTTTTAGGGAAGTAAGGGCACATCACAATATAAGTGAATAAAACTCCATGCCTAGAAATGTTATCATTCACTGCTATGAGCTCTTCCCTATTGTAAACTATTTCTTCCCTATTGTGAACTATTCTTGAACAGGTCATAAAGGGAAGTGTCCCAGTCATGTACAACAGCATTTTTGGTCAGAGTTTTTCTAAATTTTAACCCTGGTCTAGAAGTTAGTTCAAACATTTGCATAAACGTCTGCTAACATTGCTACACTTGTACATTTCGAAGAAAAAAAATTAAATTAAAAATGCCATTTAAAAAAAATCTGAAGCTTTAAGAACAAAAGAAATTTCAGACCTAAAATCCCACACATAAATTAGGAAAGATCAAGTATATATGCAACAAAAGATCATTATAAATGCAACAAAAAATTTATGTGACTTTAGGGGACAACAAAACTTAAACATTTGCTAACAGTTATCACTGCAATTGTTATTTTACAACCACAAGAAAAAACATACCCTGAAAAATACACATGTATACAGTCATGTGTAACTTACAAAAGCACCATCAAATATTAAAAAAAAATTCATAAAAAACCTCAAATAAAATTTTTAAAACTATCACCAACAGTTAAAGTTCACTTTAACTTAAATAATAATAAAATCTGTTATTTGCTGAGACAATCTATACAATAAAAAAGTTAGGACTTTTTTGGATCCAGATAGACTAGACAAAAAGAAATGAAAAACTAGTCTGGTATTACTGTCAGGTTGATATAAAAGATTGTAACTATCATTATTAAATTGTTAACATTTCAAAAATGTACTTAGGCAATAACAAATTAGGCAATCGGCAAATCTTATACTTGATAATTTCATGTATTTGGCAGCAACCAAATTAATGAAGCTTTAAACTTTTTAAAACAAATTTAAAGTGTTGAAAATAGAGATCCAGGAAAAAACTTGGTAGTGTTGTAAATCTTTGAAAAATTAACTATTGAAAGTAATAAATAGTAAATTTCCAGATTTTGTCTCCATACTTAAGGCAGGTAGATAGGAACTTTATTTAAGTCACACTCAAGCTGCACAATAAGACTATTGTTGACAGTCTGGGAAACATCCCAGAGGATGATTCGAAGACATGCCATCACTTCTGCTTTTGCAGCCAGACGACCTGCGTGAAGTTAAATTTGCTAAAATGAACAGCTAAATTTTTTTAAATGTAATTGCCAAAATGGTGGGTGAAAATGTACATTTTAATAATGCTCTGCAATAATATGAAAACATATTTTCAAATTTGAGAATTAATATTTGATAAAAAGTTAATAGAGCTTTAAAAAAAACAGAAACAAAGCATAAATCTGTGTGAAATTATTAAATAAGAAATGTAACATAACTTTGTGAAAGAAATAGAAAACAAAACCCTTGAATTTTTAAAAACTTTTGACTAAAACAAAGTAATAGATTTATACCTACAATAAAACTATAAACAATTGTCTGATTCTTCAAGTTAACAAAATCTTAAGTTTTAATGTTTGACAATATTAGAATATTGTACTACCACAAATACACAGAAGTATATAAACTATACATGAACCAAGAAAACCAAAATAATATCACAATTCAAGAATCACTATGAATTGCTTTAAAATATCACTATGCAAGAATCAAGTAAAATTAAATAAAAAAATAGTTTAAAGTTAATAAAACTATTTAAATATGTTACAAGTTAATCAGGCAAAGAAAAAAAATATTCATAGCAAATACACACAACAAAATCTAATCAATATAAAAAATTAAGTAAATAAATAAAAATCAGTCTATACAATATTACCCCAACAAGCTTAGTATCTTTTTCTGCAGCTATTTCCATTGGCTCAATGAAGTCAAATTCTAAACTTTTAATCTAGAAGAGTAAAACAAAATACAAATTTTAAAAAAGAAATAAGCAAATAATTTTACTAGTTCATAACTAGTTTATAATAATCATTCAATCTTTAATTAACAATAGTTTCATGCTAGGAAATTCATGATGAGGGGGAACAAGATCAATTTTAATACTCTATGTTAAAAAAAGGTTAAGACATTTCGCTAGCGATGAAAATATATTTTTCATGAATAAATAATGTCGGTTAAAAAAACTTCTCAATTAAAGAACTTTTATTGCAGATTCTCAAAAATTTTTTTCACTTTATTAGGTACTGTTTAGATATAATAAATTAAATAGAATTAAGTGATTAATTTCAAAAGTCCCTACACCAAAAAGAACATCATTTAAACATACATAAACTAAAATTTTACAAGTAAAAAAAAATCATAATAACAATTTTGCAACATAAGAGCATAAGCAGAACCTATCAACATGAGCATATGTTCTATTTAAAAGAGTTTATACATATTTTTCAATTAAAGAAAAAAAGAATTTTACACAAATTTGAATTAATGCTTTCCCAATTGAAGTGTCAAAGCCTCTATTATTCAGACACTTCAACAATTTTAAACATCAATTGAAAACATTCTCATTAAAAGCAACAAAAGAAATGTGATTGCAATAAAGCTCCAATTATCCGAATTGATTAGAAATGGAAAGTTATTGAATTAAAAGCAAAGAATAAGATTTGGCAGTTGATATGTTTGTCATTTGTGTTATCTTTTGCTCAAATCACTCATCCATTTGTATAAGTTATCAAAGCATTTATATAGTAAACTCCTAACATTTTTATAGTTTAACAATTGAGTGATCATATTCATATTAGCAAGTAGGGTGACCTGGGGTAATTATTGATCAGAAAATGCAAACATCTATTTTGTGAAAAAACTATTCAAGATAGAATTTTAATATTTACTGGAAGTTTGAGGCTATATGAGATGAGTCCTATGCCACCTTCTTTTGTTTGAAAATCTAATTAGAATTTAAAAGATTTTAAGTTTTTAGTGATCAGGAATTACCCCTGGTCTTGATCATTTCTGGGGTAATTCCTGATCACTTCTGGGGTAATTACTGATCACCAGTTTTTATTGTAAAGGGGCTGTTTAAAAATAATTATATAATGGTAATTAACAAATAAGACATCAAGTTCAAACAAATAAACCAAAAAGATATGTTTAAGCAGCTAATAAAATNTTGTAATGTGAGGTAGACTTAGTAATAAAAGCTTAATTCAAATGGTTGACTGAGATTTTCTCAAACAGGTCTACTTGTAGAGTTAATAAAACCTATTTAATTCTATATTTTTCGAGCTGAATTTAAAATAGTTACATTAAACTTAATGCTTCATCAACTCTTTGGATTCACGTAATAGTGATAACTGCTTTAATTTATTTACAATTTTATTAGCTTGTAAGAAATTCAACGATTTAGTTTTTATTGTATTTTATGCGATTTTTTTAAACGAATAACGCATATTCAATTCAGTGAAAAACATAATAAAATTCAGAGTAGAGAAAAATCCTAGAGGGTAAGAAAATTTTTCAGTAAATCAGAAAATAATTGAAGGTGTCATAAGAACGATAAAATACCATGGCAGCTGCTTTACTTAGAACAGAAGAGCAGACATTTTTTTTAACTAAAAAGTATCCATTAAAACGTAATTAAAACGCAAAAAATGTAATTTAGGGGAGCGACTGCTTTACTTAGAACATCAGCAATTTTTAACAGTCTGATGGTAGCATTAGCATATTTTTTTATTTCTAACCAATGGATAATATTACAAAAAAGTTAGAATTTGAAGTATTGATCTAATGTTTCAATGAGAAAAAGAAAATTTTTAAAAAAAGATTATTTTCATTCTAATTTTACTCTAATATGGACTTTTAAAACTATTCAACTAAATTTAATTTGGTTATCAAAAAAGATTTTTAAATGTCTTAGTAATGAAGAAATAATAATAGTTCATTTTGAATAAATACATAATAATGTACGTTGCTCAAACTAAAAAATGGACCACCATTAATAACTTTTGATCCTATTGATCGGATCTTCACGTTGTAGGACTCAATCTTAATGGCTCCAGGGGGTAACCTCAAATATGCTAATTAATAAGAACAAACAATATTTTAAGTTACGAAATCAGACACAAAAACGTACTTTCTTTGAATAAATATATTTTTTCTAGAAAATATGGTTCCCATAGTTTGGTCAGGAGAGGGCTCCAAAGTTTGGACCCCTTAATGTTAATTTTACTTTTTACGTATTTCGTCATATCTCGAGAACTTTTTAAGCAAGTTGAAAATATTTTGCTCGCACAATTGTAAAATTCGTTTATCCAAAGAAAATTCCAGGCAAAAAATTATTTTTAGTGATTATTTATTATTTTTTTTAATTATGGTTGAAAAAAGTTTGTATTGCAAGATATGTAATTTTTTACATCATTTTAACGTGGTTAACTTTACATGGCAAATTACTGAATTTGAACAAATCGGTTGAATAGTTCTTGAGAAATCAAATTTTAAATATCCAACTCTTTTAAAATTCAATTTCTCATTAATTTCGACCGATTTTGCTCAAATTTTGTATTTTACAATATTCTTTAAAATTGCATACTTTAGAATTCAAAATTTGTCCATTATGAAATAAAATTATAAAAAATAATAAAATATTGCTAAAAGTTATTTTCTGCATTGAATTATCAAATTTTATAACTGAATTACAGTTATAAAATTTGTTTGGATAAACAAATTTTATAACTGTGTGTAAATATTTTTCAATTCGCTTAAAACGTTTTCGAGATATGATGACATACGCAAAAAGTAAAATTAACAAAATTCAAAAGTTTCAAAAGGAGTTCAAAATTTGGAGCGCTCTTCTGATCTAACTACGGATGTCAATATTTTCCTGATTGCAGTTACCCCTTATATTTTGGGAGTCAGAAGTCCGAATCCGACGAAAAAAAGGTATGTTTATTCAGAGAAAGTACGTTTTCCTGTCTGATTTCGCAATTTAAAATATCGTGTGCACTTATTAATTAGTATATTTGAGGTCACCCCCTAGTCCCATATAGATTGAGTCCTAGAACGTGAAGATCCAATCAAAAGTTATTCAGGGTGTTCCGTTTTTTTCTTCTTCTTTTGCGCCCAGTAGAGTGCATTAAAATGCGTATGAAGGCCAAATTGTGCTTTTATCTTATTTTTGGAAATATGTTTTAGCTTTGCGTTGTATTATTTTTCATGAAAAGAGTAAGAACGATATTATTATTATTACATATTTTTGTTCATTTATTTTTTCATTTTGAAATTTCATGGCTGTGTTCTCTTAATAAATACGAGATTCAATTTTAAAAATTAATTTTAAAATCAAAATGCGCCAAATCTTATAACTCATTTCTATAACTATTTACATTTTCAAGGGGAAAAATAAAGCTAAAATAAAAAAAAAAAAAAAAAATTTTAAATAAAACTTAGGTGATCATTATTTACCCCAGAAACAGAGTGATCGTGAATTACCCCGGGTCACCCTATTACAGTAAGAGACAAACAAAATTGTTATTGCACCAATTTAGCTGAGAAGAGAAAATTTGTCTTTAAACTAAAGTAAGAGAAAGATACTTACAATATTAGATTGTTGAGCTAATATTTCCTTATTTACATCTACAATATTATACAATGTTTCACCTGAAAATGAAAAATTAATAAGCATGATCATTGAAATGTCTTAATATATATTTAAGTTAAGGTTGGCAACCATAATTATTGAAATGGCTTTAAAATCGTATTAAAACTAAATATTTTAATTTTAGAAAAATGTTTTACAATCGATATAGAAATTTGCATACTAAGTTATGCCTGGCATTCTCAAAATATTATTAGGCAGAGAAACATCAATGAATAGTCTACTGCTAACATTGCGCTTCATTATTCTCATGAGAAACCGATTTTATTTAATAATTAGAACAATTGTGATTAGGCACTTTCGATTTTTGATAAAAATTTCCCTTAATTCACCCTGTTTTAATTGTAGTCAGAAAGAAGAATTATCTGGTTTCTGTTGTCCAACTTGTATAATACTTTTCACTTCACGTCTTTATTTCATCATGTATGGATAAAAGTCACATACATTTTTGCCACTAATACTTTCATTTTCTTAAGGAGCATTTTCACTGCATGTGATTTGCATATGATTCAAAATGATTCCTGCATGTGCGAGCAGCTCTTAGTATACCAGCATTTTCAACAAATGTGGTTACCACACTGTCAAATACCGTAGAAGAAATATGAGAACCAGATTGCTGAAATAAATTTCTTCGCGAAAATTCAGAGATTCATTCAGAGATCTCTCGACGACCACCGTAGGTGCGGCTACCGCACAGAAGGCACCAAACATTAAGACAATACTGTCGGGTTCGCTATAGCCTTTGCCTTTTCCTTTCCTATGCCTTTATTCGCTAGGCCTTTTTCTTGGCTGGCTAACATTATAATGTTAGCCAGCCAAGAAAAAGGCATCTACTTTTTATTCGACTTATTTGAGAAAATTCATCTTTATACCTACCAAATGGGTTTTACACATTTTATCATTTCTACTCAGTTTTCTTTGCAACTACCAAACCTAATTTGTTCTTTGAAATTTTCAACTTATCGTTTAATAAATTTAATTTCGTAACTTCATATATTAAATGAAGCAAAACATATATCAGTTATTTAAGTTTCGTAAACAAGATTTAATACACGTAATTATCACACAATGCTATTTTTAAATTTTGGCGAAATATAAAAAATTTTAAAAAAATGTAAAAATTTCCCCGATAAGTAAATGAGATAAAGTTGAAAACTGCTTCATTCGCCCTTTCACCAATCCAAGCCGCAGAGGGACGAAATTGCAATAAAATGGTAAAAAAACTAAAAATGATGGAGTGGACTGATAGTTCATAAGAAAACAAAACTTTGCAAATGAATTACTAAAAAAATAATCAGAAGGTAATCTGAAATTTAAACAAAACTAAAAGCATGTACAGTGCACAAAAGAAATAAACGGGCCAGTCTGCATAACTTATGATCTTAATGGTTTGAGAGAGTGATATATCGCATATGTAACCAATTAGTGCAGACAAATTTTGAGTTACGAAACCAGACGCAAGAAAGTAGTTTCTCTAAATAAACTACCTTTTTACCGACGGATTCGGATTGCTGACCCCCAAAATATAGCGGATAGCCACAATCTGAATAATATATTCCCAATAGTTTGGTCTGAAAATTGGACCACTTACTGTTTTTACTTTTTGAATATTTCTCCACAATTCGAACACATTTTAAGCAAATTGAAAATCTTTTGTAAACAATCATAAAATTCGTGTATGAAAAAAAAAATCATTCCAAAAATATATTTTAGTAAATTTTTATTTTTTATTTAATAATAGATAAAAAAAAATTGGAATTGTAATCGTAATTTTTTTTTTTTTTTTTTTTTTTTTCGAAAGTAATTTTATACTTTAGCTTAAAAAATGCAGTTTAAATAGGAAAATACAAAATGTTTGCGAAATCGGTCAAATAGTTCCTGAGAAATCGAATTTTAAGTATCCGACTTTTTCAAAATTCGATTTCTCTGGAAATCTTCGACCGATTTCGATCGAAATTTGTAATTTTCAATGCGTAATTACATTCGTATAATGAAGTAGAAAATTATGTACCTTACAATTTAAAATTTTTTTAGACTATTATTAAATAAAATAATAAAAAATTAGAAATATTTACAAAACCTTATTCTTGCATGAATTCTCTCTTGAGCAAACTTTCTTCTTCCGCTCACTTCATACTATTGGGACCATATTTCCCAAATTGTAGATATCTCTTATATTTTGGAGGTCGAAAATCCGAATAAGTAAAAAAGGAAAAAAAAAGGTATGCTTTTTGTGGGGTATTTCAATGATACATTATTCTGTTTTGTTTGATTGCGTAACTTAAAATATCATCTGATATAATATTTTTAATTTAAAAGCAATCTTTATAATAATAATTATAAATTTATAATAACTCATTGCGTGCTATTCCAACTTTTTGTTATGTCGTTTTTAAACGCTCGATTTTTTTTCTGCTGTAATACATGACACGAAGAACAACATTAATGTAATTGCTATTTCAAAAATAAGTGCTCTTTAATTTATTCATCCAAGAGCATCAGGTGATGCATACACCATGCATCAAAAATTGAATAAGCAGTTTGAAAAAGAAAAAAAAAAGAACAAAAACAATTATTACAAAATGAATTCTTTTTCGTTCGAAATGTTGATTAGTTGCACTTGTTCATTGGATCACAATTAAATACAGGAATATTTCTTAGCATGAATACAGCAATAAACAGCTAGTAAAGCAAAAGGTGGTCTTTAAACTCTTAGCAAAAAAATTTATAAAAAAAAAATTTATATTGTAATTTAAAAACACCTTTTCTAGTACGTTGTACTTCAATTTCTTAAAACCGCTTAGTTACTTAACTATTTTAAAACATGTTTTATAGTAGTAATTTAATTCTGTAAGAGTATAATAAAATCTCTATAATCAAATATTAGTTTGATTCCATTTAAAAGACAGTTTTAATTTTACTATGTAATTTTTTTTTTTTTTTTTTAATTTTCCTTAAGGAAATTCGTAACAAAAACTGGCTCGATTTTTTCCTAATTATTTTCAAATTTATTTTGATAAAAAGTAAAATTTCCAATAATTTATTTATTTATTTTTTGATGATGATTAAAAATAATGCCTGTTGTACAGACCTCCTTATAATTTCTGACCGACATAAAACAGAATAGAAAAGTAATTTGGAGTCAAAAGAAAAATAGGAAGAAAAAAACTGTTTCAATAATTTGATTATTAATTCAAGTTTTTTTTGCACATTTATTCAAATTTTGTTTTCGGTTTTCTAATTTTTACTGCGACTACGAATGTTTAAGTTTTCGTGTAAATAATTAAATACGTGAAGTAAAAACTTTTTTTTTCAATGTAAAAGGCTCAAATTTAAGCTGAATTTTCTAAAACAAAATTTTTAAAAAAAATCAACTAGTTTAATGATAATAAAAGCAAAGAAGAAGGAAAGGGGGGGGGGGAACCTCTCGATACACAAAAAGAACCCACCAGACAAAAGTATTGGGATCATATTTCCCAAATCACAGTTAACATTCGGTGAGGTATCTAAATCAATCTTACCGATGAAATATAAGACACCTCTTTTATTTTATCGGTAAGGAATCCAAATCCATCAAAAAATACCTATGTATGTTTATTCAGAGAAAGTACGTATTTGGGTGTGATTTCGCAATTTAAAATATAGTCTGCTGTAACTAATTAGCATAATTGAACCTTCTGAATCATTAAGATAAGTCCTAATACGCGAAAATCAGATCATTAGATTAAAAGTTATGGGTGTTTTTTTTTCCTTGCGTATTGTACTTAACAAAATTTGAAAAGATTTGGAGAAATATCTACAGAAAAAAAAGTTAAACGTTCGCTTTCTTATTTGAATTACATATTACTTTGCACGTAGACTTTTTTTCCCTCTATTCAGTAAGGTTTTTAAGAAATGTCCGTTTTATGGAAATCAGAAATTTATCGAGCCTTATGAGAATGATATGTTCGTAATAACAAAAACAAGAAACGCTTTCTTTTGTTAGCTGCGATCGCGTTTATGTCTTGCCTTAATATAATCTCCTATTATACAATTTACGCTTACAAAAGGATCGGCTGCGCAGCGTGATGTCTTAGAAAGAAAAAACTTCCCAAAAATTATGTGCCATTTGAGGAACTTTTCTACTTGATCAGCAATTTAAACGATTTCCTGCTGTAACCATGAATTGCACTGTCGAAATTAATGGTTGGAGTTAATGTACAGTTGCGCAATGTAAAGTGCCAAGATCTAAGGTCCGCTTCAGAGAGTGAAAAGTATTATTTTAAAATGTCTTATGAACTTCAACAAATAAACAGCGAATTATAACTTTAAATAAATAAAAAATCTGCAATTAACTATCTGAATTCCCATGAAAGTCTTTCGAATAATTAGTGTAATTACGTTAAATGGCATTTAAAAGTCCATTAATCTTGCACGGATTTTTTGAAAAGTATGTTTAATTTATTTAGGTTGTAAATAATGGTAGATAAATTTAATTTTTAAAATTTACGTGTTTTAAAAATATTTTCTTTTTGTGCTACGCGGACAACGGATTTATCATAAATATTTTGCTTTTATGTGGATAAAAGTGCTCTTTCGATGTGTAGAAGATAATAAGGAAATCAAGACTTTTCACTGGTATAAAACTCTAATTGTGCAAGACCTTGAGAATAATTGCGCTAAATTGTATTTACTTTTAATATTACTATTTAGTAAATGTCTTTATTTCCTTTTAATTTTAACTCAGAATTTAAAAAATTAATTTAATTTTAAATTTTTAAAAATTTTCTTTTAAATTTTTTCAAATCAATTTTGTTTTATGAAATGTTATATTTGGTTTCCAGTAGAATCCTCGAATTACAAAAGAAATAATAAGAAAAAAAAGATCCCTATTTAAAAAGCAGCTAGGTGAGAAAAAAAAAATTAATAACATTTTTTTTCTGCTCTGCAAATATTTATACGATAAAATGTGCATACATATTTAAAAGAAACGATGGTCATTATTTGTAACGCACCATTTGGG